CAGAGAGCAAGGCAGGAACAATCTCTTACAAGAGCTTAGCAGTGAATATAGCAAGGGAGTATGCAGAGCATAGCAATCCCTTGTAGCAGATTCCCCCAATAAGAGACGGCACTCCAAATTAAGGGTGAAGTAGAACTGACTGTACTGGCACATACAGCCTCTTTTATTCACAATCCACAAACTTAGTACTGCCCACCGGGCTGTAGGAAGCAGCTTTTACAGAACAACCAATAACACACGTACATTACAGAAAACACTCCCAGCAATTATACACAAAATCCTCCCCTCTGCCTGTGATATAATTATGGTACACAATGGTTAACATAATTATCACAAACAGGAAAAATACAGTTTTTATATATGTACTATAACTTTAAAAATATACATCCAATCTTCATAAAAATATTATTAATCAGCACATTTCAAATATAAACATACCCAAAAATCATTCGAATCCGTTCAGCCGTTCGGGAGATAGATATAAGTCAAGTTTGACCGACCACAAGCACATTTTCATGCCCAAAACAGTTCCAGAGAATCAGGCTGTATTTCCCATGTTAAAGTCAGTTCAAACAGACGAATGACAACCATTCGAATTGTCGAACTGTCGAATGCATTGAAGTCTGGAGAAGGTAAAACTTCAGCTGAATTAAAGATGGCCACCGTCACGTGTTCGTTTATCGAATGTCGGCCACTTCGACTACTTCGGCACTTCGGCTGCATCCGAAGTGCCAATTTAAAGCTGCAGAACTGCTCCAATACAATTTAAAGGGGCAGCAAGTCTTTTAAAATCCAATCTGCTAAAATAGTCTTTAACAGGTAATATCTTCCAAGGGCCATGGTCTTAAAGGGGTATTGTTCCCAAAAGTCACAGTATGTCCCCAGATGGTTCTTAAAGGGCCAGCAGCAGCATAATAAAATACAATATGCCCAAATACTGTATTAAAAGGGCCAAATCTCCCAAATCTCTCGCCATAGTCAGCAGGCAGGAGGCGGGCAAACAAGCTTCTCCAATGCCCAGTGGCGAGGTTGGTTTCACCACACACCTTTTAATGGACATTCCAAAATTGCTGTGTAAAAGATTAGTTTACATGTAATGATTTTTATGTAGATGGGTATCGGTGGTCCCCATTAGTAGTTTTATTGTGTTAAAGCTCTGTCTCTAATTTGGTGCCCAGGCCACTGATGCCTCCCTATAATTCCCCTGACAATTTCTGTCCTCAGGACCAGTGCAATGTTGTGCTGATCCCACTTAGTCATCTTTCACAATGCCGCCATCTCTGCAGATTCTAAGATGGCGGCAGTCATTAATTAAATGTTCTGGCCTTCCTTGGGTGTGTGTTTCAAATCATGTGCACACTGAAGGTTTGCAATGGACCTGTATTGACTCTCACACATTCAAAAGTGGTTTATTGCTTGAGGACTACTCTTCTGCAGGACAGGTTGTAGACAGCTGGTTCAAGGATAGAAAGACACAAGCTGTTGATCTAAATCTAGTGCTTGGTCTTGTCTACCACAGAAAGGAGACTTGGCTCGCGAGCTAGCCTCTGACTCCGTGACTATGGACCCCATGTGGTTGAAATCACACTTCATCCCTGAAAGGTTAAAGGATCACTATAGTGTCAAACATGTATTCCTGACCCTATAGTGTTAACACCACCATCTAGCCCCCCTGAACCCCTCATACCTCCATAAATATAGTAAAAATCTTACTGTATTCAAGCCTGAAGCTGTAAATCTGCATGCTGTTAGACTCAGGAAAAACAAGCAGTCTGCTGACATGTGGTAGCCTGATCCAATCACAGTGCTTCCCCATAGGATTGGCTGAGACTGACAAGGCAGAGCCAGCATTCCAACACAGCCCTGGCCAATAAGCATCTCCTCATAGAGATGAATTTAATAAATGAATCTCTATGAGGAAAGTTCAGTGTCTGCATGCAGAGGGAGGAGATACTGAATCACAAGATGCTGTGCACGGTGCTGCCCTGTGCTCTGCTGACAGCAGATCTGAGTGGATGGAGGCATATTATGCCTCCATCAACTCCGATGTCCCTCTGGTTCACTCTGAGTGACTGCAACTGGAGGTGTTCCTAGCTTTCAATGTAAACACTGTATTTTCTTAGAAAATACAATGTTAACATGAGAGAGGCTGCAGGGAGCTATAGTTCTAACCTGAACAACCTCATTAAGCTGAAGTTGTTCAGGTGACTATAGTGTCCCTTTAAAGGGAATCGGTCATCAAATAAACAGCTTTAGCTCTTTTAAAAGAGCTTATAATTTTATCTGAACATTATGCTAGCAGTTCTGCAAGCAAATCTATAGAGTGGGAGAAAAACATATTAAAAATATATTTACTCCCATTTCTTTTAATTCCTCGTCAGACAGTGAATACCAAGGAAAGTATATATATGTAATGGGCAGAGTGCACTAGCCCTAGAGAGAGGAGAAAATGGAGAGAGCAAGGATAGGAATAGTAGGGGTAACAGGTAGAGGATCTCAACTAGTAAAGAAAAGCCCCCATAAAAGCTCTGAGAAATAAATAGATAGTAGTAGGTACAAAAACCTACACGTACTAGGAGATCCCTTACCTGATATCACTAATACAAAGCAGAAATCAATACATGAGAGAGAGAATACTGTAACATAAAATAACTCTAAAATATAATATAGTACAAAGCAGCAATTGAAGTATAGGGATATGTGGGCAATATAAACCACTTTAAAATGGATAAAACAGTAAAAAGTACATAAGAAAATACAAGAATTAAAGTGCTTGTGATAGCAGGTGCAATATACGTGTGCTCACTAGGTGGCAACCTTGTATCATAAAAAGTCCTCACATGGGGGGAGGGTGGAGGTTGAAGGGACACTATAGTCACCTGAACAACTTCCACTTAATGAGGTTGTTCAGGTGAGAACTATAGCTCCCTGCAGCCTTTCTCATGTAAACACTGTATTTTCTGAGTGTGTTTACATTGAAAGCTAGGAACACCTCCAGTTGCAGTCACTCAGAGTGAACCAGAGGGACTTCGGAGTTGATGGAGGCATAATATACCTCCATCCACTCAGATCTGCTGTCAGCAGAGCACAGGGCAGCACTCTGCACAGCATCCTGTAATTAAGAGTCTCATCTCTCTGCATGCAGACACTGAACTTTCCTCATAGAGATTCATTGATTCAGTTCATCTCTATGAGGAGATGCTGATTGGCCAGGGCTGTGTTTGAATCATGCTGGCTCTGCCTCTGATCTGCCTCTTTGTCAGTCTCAGCCAATCCTATGGGGAAGCACTGTGATTGGATCAGGCTACCACATGTTGGCAGACTGCTTTTTTTTTGAGTCGAACAGCATGCAGATCTACAGCTTCTGGCTTGAATACAGTAAGATTTTTACTATATTTATGGAGGGCTAGATGGTGGTGTTAACACTATAGGGTCAGGAATACATGTTTGTGTTCCTGACCCTATAGTGATTCTTTAACTAAACACTGTGTTAACAGCAGAAATTGTCCTATTCAATTGAAACAATAAAATCAGATAAAATGAAAATATCAATATAAATATGACGTGTGGCATCAAATTAAAAATGTTATTTTTATTTGATGCCATAGGTCATATTTATATTGATATTTTCATTTTATCTGATTTTATTGTTTCAATTGCATAGGACAATTTCTGCTGTTAACGCAATGTTTAGTTAACCTCCCCTCTCCCATGTGAGGACTTTTTATGATACAAGGTTGCCTCCTAGTGAGCACACGTATATTGCACCTGCTATCACAAGCACTTTAATTCTTGTATTTTCTTATGTACTTTTTACTGTTTTATCCATTTTAAAGTGGTTTATATTGCCCACATATCCCTATACTTCAATTGCTGCTTTGTACTATATTATTTTAGAGTTATTTTATGTTACAGTATTCTCTCTCTCATGTATTGATTTCTGCTTTGTATTAGTGATATCAGGTAAGGGATCTCCTAGTACGTGTAGGTTTTTGTACCTACTACTATCTAGTGAATACCAAGGAACTGATAGACAGAGGAAGCACGAGAGTTCCCTCTGCGCCCCACCTGTTGCAACCACATCACATGTGTATTTAAGAGGTTAATCACCAAAGACACCAACTGGACACTGGGACCTGCTTCCTTCCCCCTTTGCCATGTGCTCAGCTTAGCCAAGACAATTTGGCACCTGGGGTGGGTATGTTCACAACATTCTGATAACGGTCTCATTGCAGTCTCCCACAAGGTCTCCACACTGTTTTACATGGTTTGTCTTGTCTTAATGCAACACCTTGTACTGTATAAATATATAACCAGTTATTCAACATATCAGTAGTGTTTTGTTCCTGCAATCAGTTTTGTCTAGTGTTTGGGTACAAAGTGGGAAGAGCTATTACTTTGTCCAATACCTGGTTGATGGTTGGGCAATATTACTGAGGAAGCTCAGGCTAGTATGCGAGTAGCCATAAGGTATCAGGTTGCTACAGTAACTCCTGGAGGTCCCTGGTGGCATGAAGAAGGGATAGAAGCAATAGCAGGTTTTGGTCTGGACCCAAAACAGGGATCTTGATCCTGTTACAAGGATTAATGGGAGCTTCAAAACTCTCAAACACAGGGAACTCTCTATAGTAACTCGTTTGACACAGGACATTCTACACAGTTTTAGTTAGTTGAGAGCACTAGTCAGTCAGGCACCTTGGGTATATGTAAATGTGTTTGGCAAACCTGTACAGAAAAGGACTTGCATACACACACATTTATCTTAAATATGTTTACATTTTAAGTTCCCTACTTTCCATAACTAAACTATTCAAGATTTATTGGTAGTATATAAATATTCCTAAACATTGTACATGTGAATGTTTGATACCTGCATTGGCAAACAGAACTGTTATCAAAGTCCAGGTAGGTAGGTATCTGTGTAAAGTTATATTTTATATATTTTCCTAATTACAGTATAATCTTGAAAGTTCTCCCCTTAGTCTGTTTCCTCAAAACAGGGCTGTCAAACATATGGTACGCGGAGCTCCCGAATAAGGCCCACAGCAATGATGACTGTTGCTCCAAGCGCTCGCTGTTCTGGAAGGAAGTGATTAAACTTCCTAGCAGTGCAGGGGACCAACAGAGGAAGCAACAATGCAGTACCGGCGGCATGGACCGTAGGTAAGAGTGGTGGATATGTACAGTTAGCACAAGTATCCATACTATAAAAAGCTTACTGGATACTGAAAGTCTACTCAGATATTCTACCACTCTCCTATGCAACTAGCCTTGAAGGTTATCCTACTGTCATATGGAAGGGGGTTCTGTAATGCATCATCCCTCTGTAGATATGCAGAGGGACTAAATTAGCATCTAGCACTGAAATGTATGCCCTGCAGAATGATAACTAGTCCACAAGGGGGATAGTAAGTAGAGCTTTATGGAGCAGGTTTAATTCAACGCACAAAAGTATACAAACATTGTTTTATTGTAAGGGGTTTCAGTACTAGCGATGAATACGCATTTATGTGTTGTTTTCCACGGCACAAAAACAACCTGCATTATTTGCTTACTTGAAAATTTGTAATAAAGGAGCTTGCAAGACAAATTTAAATGCATGACACAAGCGTTGCTCGCGAGAGGAGAACCTGGTGGAGCTAAAGGTTAGAGCTCCCCGAGTCCTCTCTTCCTGCTGGCTGCAGCATTACACTGCTTGGTCCTGCAGAACCGGCAGGGGAGAGCACAGTTCCCAATGCTATAATCATAGCACTGGGGAAAATAAGTTGCGGCTGCGTGCCCGTCGCGGTGCCCCAGCACACAGTTTGGGAACCGCTGTCTTACCATATGTACAATGTATTTTTAACTTTAATGAAGAGGACAACAGAAGTTGTTTGTTAAAAAAAAAAGATCTAATAAAATTAAGATATCAAGTAAATGAAAAGGTGTTATTCACAATATTTATACACAGGGACAAAAATCCAGAAGGCACATTGATATCTCTCTTGATTTAGAAGACAAAAAACACCAGCATACTAGCGCACGTTCAATTTCACATTAATGTTCATGGCAGCCAATTCTGCTACAAAATAGCGGAACACATAAGGCACAGATATAGTGTCAATTGTATCAGTTTGATTACAGAATGCACAGTAATGTTGCCTATTTCGCATTGCTGACCAGGACGGAGGAGGCTTTTCAAGGAAAGGAGACAGTAAGCTACCACATTCCACACACACATGTGCCACTGATCTATCAGAACAATTGAAGAGTCTGTCATGAAGCAGGAAAGAAGTTCCATGAGCCAGTAGGGCATCCCGTTCCATTTCTCCAAAACGAATGCCTCCTTGGATATTCCTGCCACCTACAGGCTGATTTGTCACTTTATCCCTAGCCCCAGTTGTCCTGACTTGGAATTTGTCTGAAACCATGTGACGCAGACGTTGGTAATATACAACACCAATGAAAATGTCTGCCTCCAACTCCAAGCCACTAATGCCACTGTAGAGTCTCTCCGTGCCATAGAAGTTGTAACCACCAGCTTTCAGCATCTCACCAAAATATTCTAGAGCAGAGTTCTCTTCGGAGAAAGTAAAAGGCGTAGCATCATGGCAAAGCCCATGCAGTGCCGCAGACTTGCCCGCCATGCTCTCAATCAGCATCCCGATGGTCATTCTGGATGGGAAACCATGTGGATTGAACAAAATGTCTGGAACCATCCCACTCTCCGTAAATGGCATATCCTCAGCTGGCCACAGCCTACTAAGAATACCCTTCTGGCCATGCCGGCTTGCAAACTTATCTCCAATAGTGGGATTGCGGGGAACTCTCATGGTGATGCAGACACACTTAAATTTTCCAAGGCCAATGTCATTGCTGCACACTTTGATGTTATCAACAATACAGTTCTCTTTGCTCCTAAAACAAAGCAGATAAACAAGTTTTATTTAGCAGAAGTTAAATGTTATAACCCACTTTTACTGTTTCTTTGAGTTGTACTTTGAGAAATATTCTTAAATTATATTTAACGGGGGGGGGGAAAAGGACACACAAATATGAATATGTATAGACTACATGTAACTAAACTAGTAATAAACATTCTAGATCTTTATTGAATTTAAAATTGTAATGATGGTATATTCTGAATATCTATAGCTGGGTACAGGAAAAAAATCTGTTACATATATGTTAAAGCCACATCATTTAAAGTCACACAGTCGCCTGCAAGTGAACATATTGGTCATTAAACTCCCTATTATAATGAATTGAACTATAAACTGCAAAACAGAGGGGGAAATAGCAGATTTGACAGCTTAGATAGTTCACCTTAATTTTACAATTTGGAATTTAATTTGCTACAATTCTATGTTTAGTGCATTAACTACTGAGTGTATACTATGTACAATTCACTGTAAAATTGCCACTGGCTCACACACATGACAGACAGTTATCCAATGCATTAAATTATAAAAACATTTATTATCATAGTAATGACATATGCTATCAAAAAGAGTGTGACGCATGCATTATGTGGAGTAATGAAAATAATGCAACATCTCTTTCAGATGCAATGGAAATAAATGGAATTCCGTCAGTTTAAATTTATCTGCACACATAAGCTCCATTATTCTAAAACAGTACATTTTACTGATATAAAGTGAACTATCCAATGAAATTCCTACTTGTAATAGATGACAAAGTTTTCCCCCGTATTCAGGTTGAGATAACCATAGTATGGATCTCCAAACTGCAGCACAGAGCCTACAGGGGGAAGACCATCCCCGTCTAGTTTGTCCTTTGCTCTTTCATCATCCGCTTTGGTCCCAAAAACTAAATTGTCTTCTCCATCCTTAATTTTTTTAGAGAGGTCAATAAAATCTGTCTTATAGACACTTCCATGGGCAAATCCTCTTTCCCACGAAGACTTGTTTAATATCTGTAGAACAAAACACATATTGTCAGCAAAATTCAGTGATCATACAAATAGAGAGGAAAAAAAGTTAGCAAAGTAAAGCACTGAAAAGAAATGCCCATTTAGTTATATGGGCCTAGACCGGGCATTTCCTGGATCCTCTTATAGAGCAAGAGGAGACTGGGCATCTCTACAACCCTTTTAAAGAACTCATAGGGGCCTAGGAGACTTGGCATCACCTGAGCTTTGTGATTGTTCTTCAACTGGCTGCTATTGTGGTGAAAGATGGAAAAGGAGCCATTATCTGGCCCCAAGCCGGTATCATTGTGGTCTACAGATAGCTTTGAGTGCCTTTTAATTAGTGCTCAAGACTATCTTAGAGCGTGGATTTGTAGAGGTTGCAGGACTGGGATACTCTTCATCATAAACTTTGTTCCCATATTTCTTCTGCAATTGTTGATTAGAGAATTAAACTAGACATTCTACCAGGCTAATGCTTGTTTCCAGGAAACAGAACTAAGTCAGCTAACTTACCATAGCGTCCTCCATGTCATAACCTGTATAGGAAATGACGGCTACAATAGCATTTGTGCCAATAGGATAGTTATCCATCTCATAGTAATCGTACATTGATGGTCGTACAAGTGGGCTCTGAGGGGTCTGAAGACGATACAGCTTATTATCAGAGCGGTCCTGGAAAGTCATAAGAGGAAACCCCATGGTTTGTTTTCCTGCCAATAAGAAAAGTGTATTATTAGTAGTGTTTGTTTTAAATATGGTGAGTTCTAATAAAATGCATTGTAAGCTAAGACAACACCTATATGTTTATGGTGGTGGTCTTTGCTAATTTATTGTAAAAATGTGCATCGAAATTGTCACGATTTCCAACGTGTCCTTAAAAAAAACTTGACACTTCAAACCAAAATATTACAGTTTTCCCTTGTGGTTCCTCAGGGGGCAGAAATCTCACTCCTGGTAATGTAGAGAGATTAGGCTTTTGCAGGTCAAAGGTTTGTCCAGTGCATTGTTACAAGTTATGTTGTTTATGTCTCTCCCAAATAATTAAAATAGCTCTTATTGTGAAGTGTTCTATTTAAACATGCTTATGATTACTTCGTATCATACAGTCCATAGGAAAATCTGATCAACTTACCCATCTGGCACTGGTACATATTCCTGGGGCTCTGGTTGTGGTCTGAATAAGGGATGAAGTTTGCTACCACACTCATCATACTGTGTGGAAAGAGCTCCTGGTGAGTGGTAACTCCAGGCACAATTTCTCCCTCATATATAGCCACGTTCATGAAAACCTGAAATGGATAGAACGGTGAACTTAGTTGCGGTCAATATATCTGACATATGTGAAACAGGCAGCACTAAAACCAAAACAGGACAGACTCTTTAACCCCCATAATATGTTCATCTACAAGACTGCTCCTTGAAATTTAATAGGATCATGAATTGCAGTAGATTAATGGAACTCTTCAAATACCACGACCCCCATAACCTCCTCTAGTAGCTAGGATGCTAGATGGGCATAACACACCCCAAAGTAAAGTATTGAAGTTGCATCCTCTGCAGCCTGGACACTCTTTGCACTGAGCTAGCCCAGCAGACCACTGACGTGCTGAGTGGTCAGTGGACGGTTCCAGCTTCTAAGCAATCCCTGCACGTTACGGGCTTACAGTGAAGCCAATGAGCCAGGCTCCAAAGGAGGCACTGTGCAATCTAAAAAAAAAAATCTGACATCCCATAACCCAAGCAATACTGCTGGTAATTCTTATAAACATTTTCCTCTTTATTAAAAAATTCTTGAATTTTTTTTTTTATAAAGATCATTATAAAACAGTAAAGTTGCTATAGAGAAAAACAACAAAAGAATCCTAAAAGTTATACAGAGTTGTCCACTCAACTTAAAGGACCACTCTAGGCACCCAGACCACTTCAGCTTAATGAAGTGGTCTGGGTGCCAGGTCCAGCTAGGGTTAACCCATTTTTTAATAAACATAGCAGTTTCAGAGAAACTGCTATGTTTATTAATGGGTTAAGCCTTCCTCTAGTGGCTGTCTCATTGACAGCCACTAGAGGCGCTTGCGTGCTTCTCACTGTGATTTTCACAGTGAGAGCACGCCAGCGCCCATAGGAAAGCATATAATGCTTTCCCTATGTGACGCGAAGCTCTTGCGCGTGCGCATTCAGCCGACGGGGAGGAGCAGAGGAGGAGAGAAGGAGGAGAGCTCTCCGCCCAGCGCTGGAAAAAGGTAAGTTTTTAACCCCTTTCCCCTTTCCAGAGCCGGGCGGGAGGGGGACCCTGAGGGTGGGGGCACCCTCAGGGCACTATAGTGCCAGGAAAACGAGTATGTTTTCCTGGCACTATAGTGGTCCTTTAAGGGTTTATGTCCTTAAATATGACTGAATCCCCCCCAAAAAAGTGCTTTGATTTACACAGTGTTTGGATTAATTTACATTTATGTGATGTAGACTTTGCCACCATGAGTATATTTTAGAAGGGTTTGGGTTTTTTTGCCCCTTCTTGTGTTTTTTTCACTTGCTTTTTAGATTTCCACTAGAAGTTTAAGCCAGATAAAATCATTTACCATTAACTATAATATTCTAACGGTCCCAATACACAGGGTTCCAAATGTTTGTCAATGCCCAGCTTAGGAGTATGGTTTACTTATTTATTTTAAACAATCACATATAACACACCTGTTCCAAAGTACCGATTAGCTCTTCTTTTCCCAGTGCCAAGTTTCTGACTGGACGCACCATCCGGCAGGGAGAGGTAAAAATATAGAGCCCTGGGTACAAGCTTGGTTTACCAGTCATTGGTATGAGCACAATCTCAGTCCAGGGTGGTATTTTACGTTCTTGTGTTACCTACACAGGACAAAGAATATTTAATATAAAATTGTTAGGAAAAGATGAAGGAATGACAAGTCCTTTGTTAGGAAAAGGATGCCTAAATGACTTTGTCCACCTCCAGCCAAAGATACTTTGAGACACATTTATAAGCTGCATTCTAAGCACTATAATCACTACAGCTCATTATAGTGTTTAAGGGTAAAATGTCTTTGGGAGCATATTAACATTTATCACCTTCGCAAGTTAAATCTTAGAAAATATGGCAATAGGCCTGCACTGTTGTAGGGAAACAGTGTAACAATAATAATAGGTCATTTGAGTAACAGATAAAGATGGTATTCAGAATCATAACGAAAAACAACAGGTTTCGCTTTTCTGCACAGTTGGTTGCCGCAGCTTAAATGTCTGTAGTAATGGTGTTGTTTGCTCTGTTTCCTTAGAAAAACTGAAAAACCCCATCTAGCTAACTGCATTTTTTTTTCATTGATCTGTCAAATTATTTGAGTACATTTAGCTGCACATACATTCTGAGTAAATAAGTCATATAATAAAAATTACCTTAAAACGTCGTAGAGTGTTGACAAGGATAGGAGCCATGTCTTTTTCTATCCAACCGACCATGGAGCCATCTAACATGACTTGGTAGCAGTCAACAAAAGGCTTTCCCGGAATACCATCCACAGGTGTAACACCTGATCAAAGGTGAAACACAAAGACATAAATATATAGAACATATATTCTGGTATCATTTTGTAATTAACTCTAGTTTGTAAGAGAGTTTAAAAGAACACAATAAATACATCCTTTTACTTATGTAAAAATAAAACTAATCTGACAATTATATGCAAACACATCCTTTGTTCTTTTGGAGTATTTAGCAAATTGATAGCAAAGAGAAACTCCAACATTTCTCTTTTTATGTGAGTTTATTTCAGTAACTTGTAATGAGGTGTTGCTGCCAACACTTCACAAATGCAAGTAAGAACAAATAAAATGAACAGTAGACTTGTGTACATCCCAAAAAAAAATTTTTTTTTTAAATAACAGAAATTAAAAAAAAAAAAAAAAAATACATGTTGGTTTGGACAAAACAATTCTCATTTCAGTACAGATAATTTGTAATTATTTTATTTTTTGGGGGGTGTTAAAACAAACAGGTTGGTGGGAGGATATGCAACATCCCCTTCACTCCATCACCCCCCATGGCTTTCAGGTGGGAGGTAGTAATGACATGGGGGATGGACATGGTTTTTTTCTCCCACTCCCCAGAGTTTGGGCCAATAGTATGGCTATGTTGCTTGTCTCGTAGCAGAAGGAGAAAACAGGGTGAATTTCTACTAGCCAGTTGCTAGTAACAGAATGGAAACTCTAAGCCCTGTTTCACATATAATAGTCAAACTTTTAAAAGATTAAAGTACCTAGAGAGCAGAGAAGAGGTAATAAGGAAGTACTGAATGACGTCTGTGTCACAATCTCACAAGCTGCTGTCATGTGATTCATCAATCCACAAGGCTCGCCATCAGGTGTGTGCACAGGGCATAAGAACCCCCAGGATTCAGGTAGCAGGCGTCTTACACTGGTTGTTCTCATTTTGGCAAAGGCGGCACCTCTGTGTACGCAGCGGAAGTGGGACAAATACCGAATAAAGTTTAACTTGTCAGCCACAACAGCCAGACCAGAAGCCTGCAGCATACCAAGACCTAAAAAATAAAACAGAAACCCACTGACCTTCAAAGGTTTTAATAGTAAAAACATCCCTTTCAATGCTGATACAGTAAAATTATCTTCCTAAGGGCTTATCAGAAAGCATAATAATTAGAGGGGGGAAAATATCACTGAAACGTCACAATTAAAAACACCCGGATATACTATTCTGTTGCTAAAAGGACATGCAACATTAATCTTGTAATGTATATTTTTAATTCAAATAAACATTTTTTCTTAACTAGTACTGATGGAACAGAACTTTCCCTTTAAGATTTTTGTTTCTATTAAAAACTTAAAAATGACTGATCCCAGTTGCACAATAAATGGTAGTGGATGTCTACATTAAATTGCTCACACCTTACAAATACATATTTGTTAAATAAAGCAAAAACAAGAAATGTTAAAATCCTGGTAAGTGACAGTTCATCTTTAAGCCAAAAATATATAGGATGAAAAAGCCACAGTGGCATGGCCTGATTAACTGATGTGTCTGAATTAGAACAGTAATTAGGAACGAAAGTACAAATTTTAAATTCCTGGTAATGGAACAATACCTTTTTGAGTAGAAATATGTTCTCTTACGTGAAACTCACCTGTTTTAGAGCGCAGATTGCCTGTTGCCAGCAAATATTCACATGGTTTTGTGAGGTCTGATGTTGAAGATAATATTTTCATAATGACTTCAGAGGAAAGAACAACAGCCGTCTTCTGGGATTTTTTGTCAAGATTTAGTTTGGCTGAAACTAACCAAGACTCTATCTTTTCCTTTAGAAGAGAAAAACATAAAATAAAACAAATTAAATGTTGTTTTACCAGTTTAATTTAATTTAATTTAATTACAAAATTCCATTGCCTTATGATATGTATTATTGCTATTGGTTTCAAGAATAGAAATGATGAACAAGTCAATATTACTAACCTTTAGAAACATTAGTAGAAGTTGCCCAGGTGTTAAAACTTCCTGATTCATGAGGCTGTCTGGGTTCTCCTCCGTACATCCTTCCTTGGCAAAAGTGAATAGTTTCCTCGTCATTTGGCAAAGCATGTAAAACTTGTCAATGTTGGAATTAAGATGAATACAAATGCACTGGCTGAAAAGAAGGGACAAGGAGGAAAATAAATATAGGATGTTAATAAAAAAAACTATTGTAAAGTAATCAATGATTACTACATGGCTTTACGTTATATATCATTGCTTAGAGCACTAAACAGCAAAACTGTAAAAATATCTGGTGCAGAAGACAGCCCATGGGGGATGACAGTTGAGCAGTTTGGAACACATTGGGGGATATTTTTCAGGGTGTTCTAAAAAGTCATTCTGTCAATGCTAATAATATTTATTAAAGTGATCTAAAAAGTAACAGTTTTCTTTATAGTAAATTCTGACAGTTTTCACAGAAATTTCCATTTCAGGAGACTGACAAATTTATAGTGGCAGAAAAATTCTGCAACTTTTCTGTTCTTGAATCCATTGCATGGGGGAAGGGAGAGAATGGCACATTTGCAAATGTTACAGTTAGAGCAGGAAAAAGCAACAAATTAAATAATCTGACAAAAAAGGGTCAGCATCACTTTGATAAATCTCTGATTTGCTTACATGTACTGTACTCTATTTGTGCTTCCAGATATGGCATGTGCTATAGGCAAGATTCGCTCTCCTCATCCAGTAGCGAGAGCCAGGTAATGGACTGCAGGTGCATGGTCTGCGGCCTCGCAGATGATAAAACACTACCTAGTTCAATGAACAATAAAGCAGGCTGTATATAAACTGATAGCAACCACAGTTTGGCTGTTGTCAGTTTAAAATTCAGTTCATATCATCCTATGTGGTGATTTCAGCTGCTCTTTAGGGCTAAACTACTTATCTCATAATCCCCTGCTTGACACATAAGTGATAATACTAGAATCCTCAAAAACAATACACACTAGCATTTCTGTCAAAAGTAAGCCTTAAAGGGACATGCATGAGACGGTTGCTTCACTCACCAAGCTAAAAAAAAGCAAGAACGTATGATTGTGTTTCCATATATATCAGCTTCTTATTTATGCTTTTTACAGCCACTGCAAGGGGACACTGACCTAACCAATCAGTGTCCTATCCCCGATATTGCGGGAAAATTGCATTTTGCATGCTTTACATGTGCAGGTGAAGGATCTCTTCACCTTGCAAACATACTGATAGGGGGAGAATTGAAGGAATCTGATTAGTGTGATTCATGCAGGGCAGGCTCCAGTATCAGGTTTCTTCCTGCTGTTGCTGCACAATGATGCCCTGTTTCTGTCATTAGTGGAATGGTAATGGGGGTACAGGTTGACAAAACTCCTTTAGCCAAGAGGCATGCCCAACATGGCAATCTGATCAAGTTTATAAATGTTGTTTACAAGCTTTTCAAAGTTTTTCTTGCTTTATTTTGGTTTGTATATTTGTTCAAAAGTGTTTGCTTGCTGGTTTGAAAAAAATTGTCAAGTGATGCATGTCCCTTAAATTTGGACTTAAAACCAAATAAGTATCAAATACAGCATGCCATGGCTGTGGAAATTTATTGAAACTTCATGGAAACTTTTGAATATTTAAAACCATTAGTGGTATGTACAATTACCCGGGATCTTAGAAAAATACATTAAAACATTTTGTAATTCAGAGGCAACAACTGGTACTTTTAGTAGATACCCACTGCAGGTGGTACCAGAAAAAGAAATGTTTACTTATGTGAACCCATTACATGGTATGTAAATATACTAACAGAAGATACTACATGGAAATGGATATGTTACACCTCATATTTGTACACTGTACGCCATTCCAATGTTATTGAAAAATACCAATAAACTTACAAATGTAGAAAAAAAATAAAAAAAAAATATGTATGGTAAGCATATTAAAGATATCAAGTTAGAACTGGTGTTACCGTCATGCTCTCCTGTTGTGTGTCAACTACAGAACCTTATTCTTATCCGCATCAGCAAGGTAAGAGAAACACACACTTTTGCTTTTACAATACAAATAGATTTGTTAACTACCTGTTGAGGTTTCTTTAAAACAGCAATGAATTTGAAGCCTCTCTACATATTCTGAAATAGAAATCCAGATCCACACGCTTACTGTATCTGTAAATAGAGAACTTACTTCAGTAGGAACTCTGCAGCCTGTTCATCTGTATACCATTCGGGAAGGTAAAATTTCACCCGGAAACGTTCCCCTAGATATTGAAGAACTTTTTTGTGACTATGGCAACCTTCTTCCATTACCACTCTGAGCATCTGAGTGACACAGTCCCTGTAGAAGGAATTGTCTTCTTTGCCTTTAATCAACTCAGAGAAAATCTGATAATCTGTATAGTCAACCAATGCCTAAAATGAGAGTATGGGTAAAATCATAAATATATTTTGATTATGAAGGATTCAGAGAAGTTACTGAACAGCACATTATCTCAACTGTGAGGACGCAATGAACAAGGTATATACACGCCTGCTTAGCGAAAACCTATATGAATAAATAGAACTTTAAAAAAGGTAGATTTTGCAAAGCAATATTTATAATTATACTGAAAATGCATTGCAAAAAAAAGTTCCTCTGTGACATCTTATACAACCAGAAAATGGTAGAGAGATGTCAGCCAGTCCCTGTTCTTATACTGGAGCCTATAGAAAGGTTACTGATGATATGCATACATATTAAATAGTAAAAATAAGAAAAATTACCTGCGCTCTCTCCCAAATCCCTATGTATATTTAAACAAATGGAGGTCATTTAATTACTCCAATGGCCATTGGAGGGAATGCCCACCTGCCACGTCAAGGTAAACCTCTCAGGTGGGTCCTACACTAACCATTCATCTTGCTTCCTTGAGCTTCTGGCAAAGATATCTCTAATGAGACAGAGAAGGGCATTTTTTATATCCACCCCTACATACTTATTAACCCTAAATAGGGAACACATCGGATGGGAGGCAGCACTGCAACATGGCTGTGTGATACAAAAGTGAATTAAAAAAAAAAAAAAAAAAACAAGCCCTGAGCTCAAACTCCCACTACTGCAGTGCGGCAGCAATGACCATAGTACACATCAGCCCCAATAAATACAGTAAAATCCAAAGAAAAAAAAAAAAAAAAGTTACCTGTGCTCTCTCCCAAATCCCTATGTATTTTTAAACAAATGCCGGTAACTTTTTTCCTTTGGTTTTTACTGTATGTATTGGTACTGATGTGTACTATGGTCGTTGCTGCCGCCCAAGAGTAGTGGGAGTATAAGCTCAGTACTTGTTTTGATGTTTTTTTTGGTATTACACAGCTATGTTGCAATGCTGCCGTCCATCCCATGTGTGGTTTTTTTTTTTTTTTTGGATACATATTTAATACACTCAAGCCAATATATAAACACACACCCACCACGTGGATAATTTGTAGGCTTAGATCAGTATTTTAGATCTTGCCGTTTCTGTATATATTTCATGTTTTTTCTTTGAGATTCAAGCTAGGACTGCCAATGTCAGCTCATTCAATTTGCAAAGGAGACAAGTTGCCCCCAGTTTAAGGAATTAAAACACCTAAATGTTCTCTAAATGCAAGACTAACCTTTAATGCGAATCCAAGTGGGATGAAGAAAAGTTCTTTATGATAGATGAAATTCACCATGATTGAGCCATTTTCCAGATAGTGAAGGTTCATATTAACAGCTGTATGTTCATCTTGCACACAACGTACAGTTATACCTTGAAATGGAATTCAAAATGGAATTAACTTCATGATAAAAAAATTTTTTACAATAGATTCTACAAAAATATGTAATGCATAAAATTTATTTATTTTTTCATCCTCTTTTGGCTGCAAAGATCATTTATTTCCATAAATTTGACTTTACTAAATTAAGTATACTTCAAATGTGTCATGTTCTAGATGCTCTCTGTCTCCTAGCTACCTATTCCACAGCTTTTCTTCAGTTATTGTCAAGGAACCAGTCCTGTTTCTTCCCTAGAACTGCTTGGCAATAGTGAGAGACCGATAGCCTTTGCTGAAAAAAAACTATAAAAAATCTCAGAAGTGACACAGTCTCTTTAAAGTAAATTGTTTTCATTTAAATAAACTTATATAGTAATCGTTGCTTTTTTGTTTAATGGTCTAGTCTAGAATCACCTCAACAACAGTCTTGTTGACATAGGGCTGATTCCCTAAACTGGAAATTTAGGAGAAATAACATTAGAATTGCACATTTCAGACCAAAAGAGCTTAGATGGATCATTTTTTTTTTAAAGAGTTACAATTTTAAGATGTAAAATTCCCTTGTCACTACTCCAAATTTCAGTATAGTAATTATACCCCTGCATATTACAATTAATTGGTAAAGAGATCATATTTTCCATTTGAGGTAGAAGAAAGCTAGCCACCTACAACAGATTTCAGAAGCATCCTTTTTTTTTTTTTTTATTACAATCCAAAGATCATAATTTACAAAAAAGTTCTCACCAACAGATTTTACAGCAGAGAAAAGTATATGCGCTTTCAGTTACTACTAATATTTTAGTTAAACATGACATTACACTTGCAGAGAAAACAAAATGTAACATTAATTACCATATTGCGTGTAACCAGGTCCTCTGTTTTTCCACTTAGGGCGACTCATTGCAATGGGAAAATTCCTCCGAGGCATGATCAGCATTCGAATAACTTTCTCTATCCCATTTATTATGAAATAACCACCCATTTCCTAGTGAACAAACAAAAAAAATAATTCTCTGATCACAGGTAAACAAGTTAGTAAACTATCATGCTAAAGGATATCCACTATATATACAAATACATATCACATCTAATTTACAACAAAAGTAGTCACAATAGTGTTTTGAATATGTTTAAATGTCAAGTTAAAAGTAACCGGCATACAAAACCATTTCTAAGCTTTTGAAGAAAAAGAAAAAAAAAAAGCTTCCATTCCAACACAGAAATGGGTTAACACAACTCCAGAGGCTGTCTTCCTGACAGTCAGTAGAGGCGTGTCTCATGCAATAACGAAGTTAGACTCTGTTATTCAATCAAATTTTACTCATAGAGAGCAAACTAGCCTCCTAATGATTCCCTATGGGAGGCATCTCAGACGAAGTGGCAAGACGGCCACAGAGAGACCAGCTCGCTACCATATAAGGTAAGTAAAACTTACCCTTTATCCTCACGGAGGTCAGAAATCTAAATAGGTAGGGTAACACTAAAGCATTAGGAATACATGTTTTCATTTCTACAGCTATAGTTTTACTTTAACTCCCTTCAGAAAGGGATATACACGCAAACACTATGCTGGCTTTTTATGCATAAATGGAGTGATTTTGACATTACAAATTACTACTTTCTATATTATACTAAAGACTCATTCATCTAAATGTTTTAGATAAGGTTTGCACAACTGTTTACTATGAGATTGGTTCCTATTTGTGAATGTGGGGATTTAAGTGTTGACTTACTGCATTATACTTTTGAAAGTCATGCGAAGGGCTACCTGTATCATCTAGATTGGTTGCCTATCTTATTGTAGAATATGTACATATAGGTGTTTATATATAGGTAATCATTTTCTTTACCTGCTCTTCCTCATGATGTTCAATAAGTTGTTTTGGTGACAAGCCATATAAATTGCAGAGCTTTGATTTCACCATTATAGGAACATGACCAAGTGATTGTTTGATAACACCCTTCGGGACTCCATTTAAAGACCAGCTTATGTCTGCCTGTAATGAAAAGATAGCGAAAGCAGGACATTTTTTTATTATTTATATTTAATTTAAAAAGCGCAATAAATAAAAGTATAGACAAGTTATAGACAATACGGTGGCTGTATTTGTTATTTTTCTCTTGACTTCAGTAGGATTATGATTGGGTATATTAAATTAACATTTTACGAGCAGCCTGTTTTTAATATTACCAAGTATATATTAGAACAAGTTTTTTAGTACTACTCTGGTGGAACAACACACTGTAAAAATATGATGTATTTGATATGAAGTATCATCATATATATTGACATTTTAGTTTGCATCAAAATAAACACAGAGCATGTAGCAATAATAGTTATTCAAACTCCTGCTAATTTTAGATATTTCTTCACATAAACTGTCTCACCCCAAATTATATATTAATAATCTTTTTTTTAGGTTGCTATCAGTTTATATTAAACAATCATCAAAAAAGCCACTGTCGTGTCTGCTGTATGAGGTTAAATGGCAGAACGCACATATTATATTGCTCAGTGACACAAGTCAAACAGCATTGGGGCAGCTTTCTGAAGACTTAGAGAGTGCACAGCGTATAGATGCAGATTCTCTGGTCTGCATCAGGCGAATTAAATCAGCCAGAAAAAGGGAAATTGTTTGCACTTTGATTTTGAATAGCTGACCATTAGACAACTAATTGAGAGAATCAGCTGATTTCTATTGACAACTAGACTGGAGGAAAATCTGGTTGAAATAAGCATATTTCCCTTTTTCAAACAGCTTAATGAGTTACATTTGCTTAAAACATCTGGATTGTGATGCAATGTTCTAGATCCAAAAATAAAATTCACAATGAACTGTAGATCTTGCAAACATTCCGTTAAAAATCTACAGATCAGTTTGCAAAAGGCATCAAGAAGAGTGATAAACTTAAGGGATGGACTTGCCAATATAATATTGAGGACTACATTGCTTAGGAATTATATACGGTAATCTCTTTAAAAGTCAATTATAAAAGAGTACAGCATTAACAAAAAAGGTGTGAGATTAGATACTGGACATGTGACAGTTTAGCTAAAAATAAAATTTGGTTATTTACTTCCATTAATAATGCCAATTACAATTGTAACACAGATTTCCCATTTCTGCCAATTCCTAGGTAGTGAAGAAGCAACGGTCAGACAATATACATTTTTTCTCCCAGGAGTGCACAAATGTATTTAATAAGCAATATAAATAAATGCCTTACAGTTAACTTTCCTCGATACGTGCTTCTGCGTCCTCTGCATTCTGCTGGGTAAATCCTATGTTCTTTACAGATGTTTCCTTTTGGAACCATAGGAGGGGTTATAGACGCATCCACAATGGAAAATGAGACTTGATCATTTTTAAAAGCGAACTCTAGTGGTTTCATAGCCTAAGAAGAAACAAAGAAAATTAAAATAGTTGATTTAGCATTGACACTGTCAACATATGTATGTAATTCACTCACGTTGCAAGAGAATCATTTTGTTTTCACTGGTCGCTCACAGTAAGCCACATTTGGCATGTGACACACAAACAGTAGTGTGCTCATTGGAGGATGTTTTACCTGAAGTGATAGCTGTTTGGTGACAGATCTGCTTTAATTTACTATGTCCTAATGGACACTAGTAACTTAGTCCCTACCCCTCCTTATTTAGAGTTAAAACTTTTTTAAAAAATTGGTTTTAAGCTTACCTGGAATCCCCCTAATTTCTCAGAGGTACAATCAAATGCTTCTGGTAGCATTCATTGGACCAATCTGACTGGCTCAGAGTGTAGGAGCAATGCACAGATAGATCCCTTGCTCCATGACCACTTCTAAAAGTATAAGTGATCACAGAGGTTGGAGTAACCCTTTCAGCACTAAACCAAAAATAAAGACATTTGATTAATAGGAAATAAGAGGGGTTGTAGGTAAAAAGTGTCATTCATTTTTATGATTTTGCCAATTTGGCACTTTTCATATGAAGGAATATGTTACAGAGTGGCAGAAAATGTCAGAAAGAAAAGGTGAACTTTAGCACCTCGGCTATACACAATAAAGTAACAGATTTTTGAAGAAAAAAAAAAGATGGAAATAGGCAAATAAAAAAAACAAATGCAAAAAAAAGGAAAATCAACTTAAGGAAAAAAAGTGACACGTTTTATACACAACCATTTAATGTTTTATGGTCCCTATTCTTACCCCATGTGTGGTCTTTTTATTCCCCTTTCTACAAAGCTTTCAATTACGGCAGTAGATAAAAATCCACACTACAGATTGCATTGATTTCTGATTATAATTAATATATCATTATTAGACTTCAGTGTATGAGATGTTGTGCAGCTTGGCACAGGAATAAGACATGTTAATGTAACCCCGTGCTCCCCACCTGTATTGCCTGACTCAGCCCCTCTGTCATAGCTTGGTTGAAGGAGTCAATGTGAGCCCTGGTGAGCTCCTGCAGCGCTGGGTGCTGCCTCTCTGCGGGCAGCCCATAGCCAGGCTCCGTCAGGTTCTTCAGACTCGGCTGCCTGGGCAGATTGAGCCACTTCTTGGCACTGTCCATGGCGCTGGGTCCTGCCGGCGGAGCACACAGCTGGGTACACGCTGCCAGAGCACTCACATGGGCAGCAGCCAGGAAGAGGCAAGACACACGCACATGGCTGCATGATGCACGTCCGGTCGTCGTGTCAGTACTTCCGGGGTAGAGAGTGCAGTCGGCTTACAGTGTGTGGTGGGTACTGGGGCACTGCACACAGACACAGCCTGGGTCAGGCTCATGGTATTAGGAGAGTGCAGTGCATGGTGGGTACTGGGGCACTGCACACAGACACAGCCTGGGTCAGGCTCATGGCATTAGGAGAGTGCAGTGCATGGTGGGTACTGGGGCACTGCACACAGACACAGCCTGGGTCAGGCTCATGGCATTAGGAGAGTGCAGTGCATGGTGGGTACTGGGACCCTGCACACAGACACAGCATGGGTCAGGCTCATGGCATTAGGAGAGTGCAGTGCATGGTGGGTACTGGGACCCTGCACTACACACAGACACAGCATGGGTCAGGCTCATGGCATTAGGAGAGTGCAGTGCATGGTGGGTACTGGGGCACTGCACACAGACACAGCATGGGTCAGGCTCATGGCATTAGGAGAGTGCAGTGCATGGTGGGTACTGGGGCACTGCACACAGACACAGCTTGGGTCAGGCTCATGGCATTAGGAGAGTGCAGTGCATGGTGGGTACTGGGGCACTGCACACAGACACAGCATGGGTCAGGCTCATGGCATTAGGAGAGTGCAGTGCATGGTGGGTACTGGGGCCCTACACTGCACACAGACACAGCATGGGTCAGGCTCATGGCATTAGGAGAGTGCAGTGCATGGTGGGTACTGGGGCACTGCACACAGACACAGCATGGGTCAGGCTCATGGCATTAGGAGAGTGCAGTGCCTGGTGGGTACTGGGACCCTGCACTACACACAGACACAGCCTGGGTCAGGCTCCTGGTATTAGGAGAGTGCAGTGCATGGTGGGTACTGGGGCACTGCACACAGACACAGCCTGGGTCAGGCTCATGGCATTAGGAGAGTGCAGTGCATGGTGGGTACTGGGGCACTGCACACAGACACAGCCTGGGTCAGGCTCATGGCATTAGGAGAGTGCAGTGCATGGTGGGTACTGGGGCACTGCACACAGACACAGCCTGGGTCAGGCTCATGGCATTAGGAGAGTGCAGTGCATGGTGGGTACTGGGGCACTGCACACAGACACAGCCTGGGTCAGGCTCATGGCATTAGGAGAGTGCAGTGCATGGTGGGTACTGGGACCCTGCACACAGACACAGCATGGGTCAGGCTCATGGCATTAGGAGAGTGCAGTGCATGGTGGGTACTGGGACCCTGCACACAGACACAGCATGGGTCAGGCTCATGGCATTAGGAGAGTGCAGTGCATGGTGGGTACTGGGGCACTGCACACAGACACAGCCTGGGTCAGGCTCATGGCATTAGGAGAGTGCAGTGCATGGTGGGTACTGGGGCACTGCACACAGACACAGCATGGGTCAGGCTCATGGCATTAGGAGAGTGCAGTGCATGGTGGGTACTGGGACCCTGCACACAGACACAGCATGGGTCAGGCTCATGGCATTAGGAGAGTGCAGTGCCTGGTGGGTACTGGGACCCTGCACTACACACAGACACAGCCTGGGTCAGGCTCCTGGTATTAGGAGAGTGCAGTGCATGGTGGGTACTGGGGCACTGCACACAGACACAGCATGGGTCAGGCTCATGGCATTAGGAGAGTGCAGTGCATGGTGGGTACTGGGGCACTGCACACAGACACAGCTTGGGTCAGGCTCATGGCATTAGGAGAGTGCAGTGCATGGTGGGTACTGGGGCACTGCACACAGACACAGCATGGGTCAGGCTCATGGCATTAGGAGAGTGCAGTGCATGGTGGGTACTGGGGCACTGCACACAGACACAGCATGGGTCAAGCTCATGGCATTAGGAGAGTGCAGTGCATGGTGGGTACTGGGGCCCTACACTGCACACAGACACAGCCTGGGTCAGGCTCATGGCATTAGGAGAGTGCAGTGCATGGTGGGTACTGGGGCACTGCACACAGACACAGCCTGGGTCAGGCTCATGGCATTAGGAGAGTGCAGTGCATGGTGGGTACTGGGGCACTGCACACAGACACAGCATGGACCAGGCTCATGGCATTAGGAGAGTGCAGTGCATGGTGGGTACTGGGGCACTGCACACAGACACAGCATGGGTCAGGCTCATGGCATTAGGAGAGTGCAGTGCACGGTGGGTACTGGGACCCTGCACTGCACACAGACACCGCATGTGTCAGGCGCATGGCATTAGGAGAGTGCAGTGTGTGCTTGGTACAAACACAGCATGGACCAGGCTCATGACATTAGGAGAGTGCAGTGTGTAATTTCCATGTGAATTTGGATTAGTGAATCTTAACTTCTTTTCTTATAAAGGGACCCAAATTGTGTACATGGCATTTACACAGTGACCAATTTTTAAAGGACCACTATAGTGCCAGGAAAACATACTCGTTTTCCTGGCTCTATACGGTCCTTGGGTCCCCCTCACCCTCTGGGTCCCCCTCCTGCCGGGCTCTAGGGTGAGGAATGGGTTAATCCCTTACCTTGCGCTGGGGACTCTCCTTTCCCCGTCATCGGCTGAATGCGAACGCGCGGCAGGAGCCCTGCGCGCATTCAGCCAGTCCACAGGAAAGCATTCTCAATGCTTTCCTATGGACGCTTGCGTCTTCTCACTGTGAAAAAGACCAGAAAAGCATGGGGATTTTGTTTTGTGTATCAGCACAGCAGTTAAGAACAGTTAAGCACATTTAGATTGTACCCTTGGAAATGCAAGGAGGATATTTTTGGAACCTCTATAGCTTGCATCTTCTGGGTAGAAATAACTTTTTTTTCCCCATTGTTTCTTTGAGGTGTCGGCTTTGGTACGCCAGGTTCCTCATTTTGCTTAGATGGCATAATCATTGAATGATAAAGATGGAAAGTGTAACAAATTACGAGTGGAGAACCCATGGTTGTCAATCTGAAATGTTGACAATTTTACATGACATGGGGATTAATGTTCAACACATTCTTTGTAAAATACGAATGCAGGATTGATGACTTTTTTTCTTAATTATGTACCTTGTTTTTTATCAACAGAAGATTGTATTCAATTCTTAGATAGGTATTTGTTATGTCTGTGAATCCAGTATTGGGCAATGATGGCAAACCCTTTTCACTGTGACTTTAGCAGATGTTCACATGCTGGGGATTCATGACTGTTTGTTTAAAAGGAGCAGAATCTTAATCACCAGTGCAATGTGCCTGCCTGTTCCCCGGGTTTCCATGATGACTGCCCACTTTTCAAAACCGAACACTTTAATACGTAATCTAGATGTCTAACTGCACACTGGGTGCTCCCCTCCTTTGATGCCTAGTTACATAATGTGGACTACATTTCCCTAGATTCTTAGACTATTAGTTACTTCTATTTCTGTACCGGCCATGATATGATGGGAAACCTGGCCCGTAAAACCTAGGGTGACAAATGTCAGTCTTCATTGCCTTGATTCAAAGGTAGTACATGTAAAATAGTTCAAAAACCAAATTAATGGTTTTTGTGCTTGTGAAACTTCTGTCCTATAAAACAACATTTACACTTTGTCCTCCCCCCCTTGCCAGTATCTTAAAATAGTTGCTGATGTATCTGATTGACCAGCACCCCATCATCATCTGCAAGGAGTGTTGTTTTGTAATTTTCTTTGCATTATGGGAAGCACAGTCAATAAACTGACCGTGTCCTTTAAAAGGTTACACCAATAACAAAACTCCTTCTTTATTTTTCATAGTCACAACTGAGGACCTGTATGTCCCTTTCTCGTACTTACTAATTTGTTGAAAAACAATATAATTCTAATTTATTAAAAAAAATTGTTACTCCAAGCATCATGACCACTTCGAAGTGGTCATGGTGCTTGGAGTCTGTGTTCACAGCATGTTATAAAAAGCTGCACATACTGATTTTAACCCCTATACTGCCAGACATGTAACTCCACCTCCACCACCTAAGAGGGCAAACCATTGCAAAATCGATTGCCCTATTTCCAGGGAACAGTGCCGGGATACTTTTAGCATAATAACCAATGCAGTGGACTCAAGTGGTTTAGAGTAACCCTTTAAGGGGGAAATCTGATATAAAGTTGCACTGCTGCTGTAAAAATATCATACCTACTATCAAAATTAAAGTGACAGAGCTACAATGAGGAGAGGGATGGTAATTGTTTTATTTCAGAGGTTTGTTTCTTAGAAAAATGTGTCTGAATATTGAAATGCTAGAATACAAATTTACCCAACAAGCAATTTACTGCTGGAAGAAAACAAGTTAGGATATATTACTGTAATAGTTTATCCATAATTACATATGTTCAATGTATTTCAACAGCAAATGCATGTAAGCCTTTCTGGTGAACCAGAGTGCAAAAAAACAAAACACTTGCTTCGGAAAAAGAGTTTTAAAGGAACACTATAGTCACCTAAATTACTGTAGCTAAATAAAGCAGTTTTAGTGTATAGATGATTCCCCTGCAATTTCACTGCTCAATTCACTGTCATTTAGGAGTTAAATCACTTTGGTTATGATTGACAGAGCCTGCATGAAAAAAAAAATGGTTTCACTTTGGAACAGATGTAATTTACCTTAAATAATTGTATCTCAATCTCTAAATTGAACTTTAATCACATACAGGAGGCTCTTGCAGGGTCTAGCAAGCTATTAACATAGCAGGGGATAAGAAAATCTTAATTAAACAGAACTTTCAATTAAGAAAGCCTAGATAGGGCTCTCTTTACAGGAAGTGTTTATGGAAGGCTGTGCAAGTCACATGCAGGGAGGTGTGACTAGGGTTCATAAACAAAGGGATTTAACTCCTAAATGGCAGAGGATTGAGCAGTGAGGCTACAGGGGCATGTTCTATACACCAAAACTGCTTCATTAAGCTAAAGTTGTTCAGGTGACTATAGTGTCCCTTTAAGTAACATTATATAACATGCCGTTATTGGTACAGTCTTTAGATATGAGTATTATTGTTAATCTGTTGATTTTTGTTTACAGGTGAGCAAATTTAATTCCAGAGGAATATAAATTCAGATCTTGCATGAGCACCTGTGTGCATCTACGACATTCGCTAGCAGATCTCGTGCACTTGTCTTGACTTACAAATATGGTTCTGAATGGCATTAAAGCAGTGTTTTTTGATTTGGATAACACATTGATTGATACAGCTGGAGCAAGCAAACAAGCAATAGAGGAGGTACCCTGCTTTGACTTTTATTTCCCCTTTGTTTTAAGAATTTTATATAGCTTATATACTGTATTATAGGAACACTCAAAGTGGTTATGGTTCAAGAAGTGGCGTGTCACCCTCCTGAATCAGCAATGGCATTACTTCCCATAATTCACTGGACCACACAGCTTAAAGGGACAGTACAGGCACCCAGACCACTTCATCTCATTGAAGTGGTCTGGGTGCAGTAACTCTGTCCCCTTAACTGTGCAATATACAACTTTGCAGTTTTACAAACTCTGTGAAACGACACTGGACGTCCTCGCACTTTTCATGAGGACGTCCAGCATCTTGAAAAACCCCTTAAGAAAGAATTGTATCAATGCTTTCCTATGAGGAAGACCTAATGCGCACACGGTGTAGCGGATGGCACTGAACTGTCCTCCAGGATTATGCTTAAAAGACAATTTGTGTGTTTGTTTTCCTGTGTAATTGAAATTGTATGTAGGATTCGTATGTTTGTTCGGTAGTTTCCATCCATATTTCATACGAATGAAAACTACCGAATCAATAGACCACCCCAGAGAGAAGTGTGTACCTCATTAGGCTTTCACACTTCTCTAATCGCAGTCAATCGGTACTTTATTACTATATCTGGGTGGCCGCCATTCGGTAAGCGAACACGTGGCGGCGGCCATCTTACGCACAAACTCTCAACAGAGTTTGGTTGTCGAGTGTCTGGAACTCAAATCGGACCCTCAATTACCCCAACCCCGCTGAGACCTCCAGAGCTCCTTAATTCCCGAACGGAGGGGCCAATTAGTCCCTTGTTCAGTGAGTTCAACGTACCGAACAAGGGGATTCATACGAATGCGTTGTTAATAGTGGATGGCAAAGATTTGTGGATGTTTTACCTCTCGAACGGAGACCGACCGCAGGGCCAAAACACATGGAACCCTTTTCGGCTACCACCTCGTGTTCGGTCGGTCAAATAGTTTATTCCCCATAACTCCCGAATCCCTGGTCTGATCTGGGTGAATTTTGAGTATGTTGGCCACCCAGATCAGGGCTACCAGGGAATGCCACTTAGACCCTTGTACCCCACAGTTTTGGGGTACATCCAGAAACCAGGTAAAACTGTAACAGAAATAAGTGGATTAAGTGTCACACTGAGGGGAGGTAACTACTGTACCATTGGCTACTGTCCCAATTATTGTAAATCCCTCCCTTGCATGGGAGAAACCTTGATAAGGAAACGATGTGATTAAAAGTTGAGTTCTGCTCCTGATGCTGTGTGTCGTCCAGTCATTGGGATTGAGGTTGGGATATTGTTGGAGTGTTTTGCCTGCTGGAAATATTACCTTATGGATTTATAATACTTGTTCCTGAGCCTTACTGGGATCTAATGTGGAGTAGCTTTCCGCTACACACGGCACTCACCTCGCATGTTCATTAAGTTCCTGAGTTACACTGGCATTGGAGGAGGAGGAGCCCAGTCCAGCACCGAGGGTCTTTGGTTCTTGAATCAGGTAAGTGAATACAAGAACTTTTAGACCTTTGTATTCAATAGAGTTCTGCATTCCTAACACTTTAGTGTTCCTTTAAAGGAAGCCCCATAACATCTTCCACCTGCTGTTATGGTGCCCTATGCTGTGAGTGCCCTGTGGCTCTTTTAGGGAATTTGACAAACAGTTAAGAAAGGTTTGACAGCATTCCTATGCCAGTCCAGCTGCCAGCATGCACCTGGACTGAGATAAGCAGGTATATGCAGGATGGTACTTACCGGCTGAGACCATCATTTAAACCCTCTGAGTCAATGAGTGCAGTCCTGTATTCGGTTTGCTTAACTAATTGAAGACATATGGGTTCTCCTGCAAGAGAAGATTAGATGAAACTAGGTAAGCTTAAAACATTCTGAAACAATTTGGCAGATCGCTGTGGGATGTCGCCAGGACACTCCTGGCACCAAACAGCCCACTGTAGTGTAGTGTTGTTTGGAGTGTTCCTTTAAGAGATTGTGTGGAAGGCTGAATAAATACAAATTAAACCAATAAATGGTTTGTGTGCATTTTGATATTTATAAAACAAAGAAAACTCGTGACAATATTTAATGTATGGCAAAGTTGCAATTTCTACAAATGTTCATCTGTAAAGTAAACAAAAAGGTTTAAAAAAAGATCTTTAAGCTCACATATAAATATAAACTGCATGTTTTGCTCTAGAGTTGAACTACTTGGTGTTCAGACACTATACAGTTGTATTTTCTTCTAGGTGGTTCAGATACTCGTAGACAAAAACAAGTATTCGGAGGCAGATGCTCATATGATCTGTGACATGTTCCAAGCCAAGCTCCTGCAAGAACATTTGAATGACTCTGAAATGACTATTGATGATCTCCGAATACTGCATTGGAAGGAAGCAATGCAAATGATAAGACCAGGGGATCACAAAGATTTGGCCAAAGAGTGCTATACATTATGGAAAAAAAAGCGTTTAGAGCTCATGACTCTATCCGAAAATACCAAAAATATGCTCCATGATCTTAGAAAATTGACACGCTTGGTTCTCCTAACTAATGGCGAGAAGCAAGTTCAGAGGGAGAAAATCGAGGCTTGTGGTGTCCATGAGTTTTTTGATGCCATTGTAGTCGGAGGCGAACATGTTGAGCAGAAGCCAGCAACCTCTATCTTTCTCCACTGTTGTGACCTTTTGACCGTGAAGCCTGAGGACTGTGTGATGGTAGGAGACAATTTGGAAACTGATATCAGAGGTGGACTTAATGCAGGCGTTAAGGCAACTATCTGGTTAAATGAGAATGCAGCATTCCGTGGCAAGCCTTGCCCAGTACCACATTACACTATACATTCTATAACTGATCTACCTCATGTTCTGAAGAACTTGCAGTAGATATGACAGATCTGCCGTCACATTCTATCTATGTTTCTATGACACAAGCTTCTCATGGGAATATTGCAATTATGTTATCACATTGATGAGTTAATTTTTATCAATAATATTTGATGTTTTAGCTTTTGAAATTCTTATCACTAAATTATTTTGGGATTTTTGTGTACCTTTATGGACCCCTTTTTGGATATAGGTGAGTGAATTAGTTAGATTAGTAAATAGTCAGGAAGATATCAACATTACATACCTCCTCATTACATACCTCCTCATTTTAAGATTTGTTTTAATTCATTATTGTGTAAAGAAGGAATATATAGCTGGAAATCTTGGTCTGACAGAGCAAAAAATACGTTATTTGTTGATGCATATTGTGGAGCATGACAAAGTTACAACATCTTCTGCTGGTGGGGGTTAATTATACTGTTCTTCTAGTTTTCAATGATGTGTAAAGGTTACCTAGGTGAGCATGTTTTTAAACCGTTTTTATAAGTTCAAGAATGCATACGTATTTTTATGCACATAATTGCAAATAAATGCATTTACTAAAATATGTGAAATATTTCCAAAGATCTAGAGGTTTGCCTTTAATTAGATGCAGAACTGTTCTCTGCAGCCTATGAAGATGTCCTGGCATTGTCCAATTAAATGTTTCTCATTGACGACAAAGCTCCTGTACAAACTTTCTAATTTGGGTGGGTGGTTTTATTGATGTAAGGATGTCTATTATTTTTTTTTTTTTTTTTTAAAACATACTTTTGTTTTGTATTATTCAAATTCTGTTTTTGAAAAACACGTCTACTCAAAACCAAAGTTTTCACGATGATGTTCTTCCCTCAGCATAAACTAGGGGAGGGCTCGCAGTAGCTGACGACAGAAGATCTGTAGCTTTTGCAAGCTAGTTTTCAACATACCTCCAATGAAACAATGCATCAATACATGCATACATGATTTTATTGGGATATACCTAGTAAATTCTTTTTAAAAATATAAAATAATTTCCGTTGAAGTGTTCCTTTAATATTTGTAAATTTTCATTAAAATGATAACTTGTGATGTAAAGTTATTGTGAGCTGATATACTTATTGAGCTGTGTAATAAGTGGTTGATTCGTTCCATTATATTGGATGCATAGTTTAACTTCCACCTGCTTCAGACATAAGAGTTGTAGCCAAATAAAGGCAGGCGACTTCTTGCACTAAGTTGATGGGACATACATTAACAAGTGCTGTACACAGCTAATATTTTGTTATATCACCAGTTTAATAGGATCACTCATTGTGTGTATGCTGATTTGCAGAATAACAATTAGATTAAGTTGTTTTTTTTCTGAATTTTGTATGTTCATCTTATAAATTGTTTGCAGTAAAAAAGTGCATGTTATCTGTGCAGACACAAGTTCAATTAACTCGGAATAATGGAAGGCATTTACCAAAAATGCATATATTGTGTGAATATACAGCCCACGCTACTTAATTAATCCTTGTTTTGTTTCATATTGAATAACCTTTGGACTATAATGTATTGTAAATGTAAAACGTTAGATTTTTCCTCCAAAGGCATTTTTATGAAAATCGGATTTAAATAAAAAACAAAAAAAATCTAATTAAATGTATTTTTTATTTTTGTCCACCCTGTTGATGATACTGTTCTGCTTTGGTTCCAGTACGGCTTAGTTTTCTTTATTCTCATGATCTTGAATCAGCCACCATTCACTCAGCTAGTAATTAACTCTTCCACTTAACCAATTTGTATTCGTAATGCCTTGCTAATACCGTAAGGCCTTGATGTACAGTCCTTGTACATGCCATGCCCAGCTCTGCAATATCATTAGTTACTCACCTTGCAAGTTCTTCAGTTTCCCTACACCAAGCATCTAATGTCCATATTAACACAGGACACTCTATACTTCACATTTGCATTTGATTGGACTGTTTACGGATCAAAGTGCATGGGCACATTCTGTGCCAAATCGGGAGGGTAGAGGTATACATGTGAGGGGATTTTTTTAAACAACTAATTACAGGCAGTGCAGGGAGGCAGGACAGAAGAGCCAGGTTCCCCGTGCAGATGCACTGCCTGCAATGGATAATCTTCTATGACAGTTAAATATTGCATAGAATTGGCATTAGGCAGCCCGGAACAGTCTCACAAGTGCAAATATCTCCGTATGTGCAGTGTTTGAAGCAGAAACGCTCCACATACAGACTTTTACCACCATGACCACTTCTAACAGCAGAAGTGGTCATGGTGGTTTGATTAACCCTTTAATCTCTTTACCTGTCATGACCAATTTACCTTGTCCTTTTTTTAATAAATTGCTATAAAATGTATAGATTAGGAGAAAAAAATGATTTTAAAAAAAAAACACCCATGAAATAACCAATTTAGATGAGGAAGGTTGATGCTAGAGCTGAGTTAAGGTGGGTATTTCTCGAAAATTTACACTGAATACATTTTGTATCTCTGTGATATATAATGTATTTGTGGATGATTTAGCTAAAAGAAACACTGTAGCATTAGGAATACATATCTGTATATCTAACGCTACAGCCCTGATGTGACACCCTAGGTTTTAAACAAAATAAAATTTAAAACTAATTACTCATCTTTTCTCCAGCACCGAGACCTCCTATTTGAGTGATATCATCATGGAGATGTGTCTCAAGGAGGACGGTCCAGTCCAATGCTCCGCAGAGGAGTTCACTACAATGCACCTAAGATTCTGCCATAGAGAATCATTAAATACAATGATTCTCTATTACATACCGTGACAGCATCGAGCATGCATGCATGACTTTGCAGTATGAGTGGCGGGAAGTAAGATTCCCGACACTCATACCAATAGGTCTTGGAGGCGTGGCTTTAAGTTGGGCTCCCAACCTTTCTAATTTGAAGGACTGCAGGCACTACATCTTCAATAAGATGAAGTTGTTAAAGGGCCTACAATGTTCCTTTAAGTTAATTAAGTAGTGACAGGTTCACTTTAATCATATCTGGGTGTTATAAAGAGCATTGTCACCAATCTTCGCTCTCATCTGTTTGCTAAATCATGGTATTGTAATGCCAAGAGTTATTTCTCTTACAAACGGGAATGGTACTTACTTCAAATAAAGTTGATATTTTTATAAGAACACTGTGATGTCATCATATTTAAAAGAAAATAAATGTGGTACAATGATGGCAACTTTTATTATGGCAAGTGTCATTACAGCTAGAGGCACTGTTATTATTGGCTCTGTAATGATGCATAGTAATGTAATCTTCCAGTTGTAGAAGTTTATGGGAAATTAGCAATGTTAGAATATAGTGTTCTTTGGTTTACAGAGCAATCCTCTTCAAGATACTGTACATTCTAGCTCCTACTATTTATTAAACATTGTTACTAATTCATTAAATACCCACTACTGTGTTCCTTTCTACAACTGCTCACCACCACAATGTTCAAAATAGAAAAGGCCAAAATGGTGCTATTGTTAATGGTGATATAATGCTTCATCCCTATTGTTAATGCGATGACTATGATAATACTATGTCACAATAGTGATTGTCAATATTTTAAAGTTTAGTGTTTTAAAGTAGCTTTGTCACCTCACCAAAATTTTCGAGTATTTCTTAAAGACATGTATTATGTTTTTGTTTTTTTTTATAAATGGTGCAATGATAAAATTACAGACGTATTGACTTGTCACCATGGAACATAAGAGAAGTATCAGTAAAAATGTGAGATATCTGCACAATTTTGTAGATTATATAATGCTTAAAGGGACACTATAGGCACCCAGACCACTTTAGCTAATTGAAGTCATTTGTGTACAGTGTCCCTTTTGCACTTAGTAAAAACTGCAGTGTTTACATTGCAGCTGTAAGTATGCCCTCAGTGACTCTCTACCAGACAACCCCTAGAGAGCTTCCTGGATTGAAACAGGCCTTTGGTCCGGTGTCTGACGCTGGATGTCCTCAAGCTCTGCATGAGGACATTCAGCTTCAGATTTTCCCCCATAGGAAAGCATTGATTCAATTCTTTCCTGTTGGGAGGGCTAATGCGCACTTGCCGCACATGCAGATTAGCGCCCGCTTATCAAGGGACGTCGGAGGGGAAGTGGATCAGGTAAATAAAGGGCTTTTAACCATTTATTTACTGGGGAGGGGCTGTCAGGGTATTTATATCGGCAGACATCTTGTGCTATGATAGAAACTAAAAGTGTATATTCTGAGTCACTCTGAACAGACCAGACTCCATTTTGTTATTTTCAAGTTAACAAAAAGACACTAGATTTCTTTCTGTAAGACTAGCCACTTTGCCAGAGCTAAAAGGAATGCATAGTATAAACAAGTGATAAGAAGAATATAATCAAATCTAAACCCAGACAATTGTGACAGAGAAGATTAAATAATTTAATTTTACTGTCTATATATATATATATATATATATATATATATATATATATATATAAGGTACCATTGTATGGAAAAGGGTAAACTTAGTTCATGATCTGCCATATCAGAAATTATGGCAGGAATTGCAGACGCTAAGTCTGGACAAAACTTAAAGAACCCTTTGAAATTTTAAGTTATGGCACTATAAAGATAACGTCAAAATAGCCACCAGGAAAAGTTAACTCTTTCCTGGATAGGTATGTTTAGTGGGACAAGACTGCCCTCTATAGATCAAATAACTAAATTGCGATCTGGAAGATAACCACACCTCTAGTGCTTCTATTGGGTTATCAACTGATGACGTACAGAGAGTCTGGCCCTTTAAAAGTTAAGACAAAAGGAAGATAGAGATATGCAGGGTATGCAAGAGATGCAAAGGAGAAAGGAAAAGAGGAGAGAGGAATTGGAAGTTTGGGGACTCCAACCTCCATGCAGAGAGACATCCAAATAAGTTCCTGAGACTACCAATCGGATGAAATATCTACTCAACTGGTAATTATACTGGTTTCATTTAATTAATTAAATTAATTAAAATGTATTAATAGCATGATATATGACTGGATAAAGCACGGTCAGATTTCCATATTAAGAAATCTTAGTTAACTAAAGAATATATAGTTATAAACATTCCATTCTGCAGGTGGAATTAAGAATAATTATATATTGATGTGATATTATCACGTGTTAGCATACCGCTGTTTTTATCCAGGTGTATTGATTTGCTCTAAATTAAGATAAGATATCTTTTAGACAAATTAAAATCTGCTTATAAAATATGGTAGATTCTCTTATTGGATGGTTCCAGGAAATGACTAATGAACTGGTTTAAATGTTATTTTATTTAAAATTACATAAGAATAGATCTTAATTACCTAGGAGATCTAGCCAGCATTGAAAGGGTTATTCTGTCAGCTAAACTTTACGACCTTACGCTGCACTCTGAAGAATTCTGTTCTCTGAGTGAAACTTTTTCTCTCTGTGAAACATAGTCATAAATCGTCAAAGTCTTGACAGGAAATGCTGTTTTAGCCATTGAAACGTAATACCCATTCCTTTGTATTGCATACCATTTTATACTGGATATTCATTGATTATTGTCACGCATGTTACATAATATTATTTGTTAATTATTGGTTATCATAAATAAAAATCTATTTTTATACATTGTGATATTAATTATATGAAATACTTTCACTTACGATAAACGTTCTTTGGGATCTGAGAATTGAATTAGTGGGCAATTCTCAACTGTTTACTATTATTATCCCATAAATATCCCCACAGGGCGCAAGTGAGAGAGGGGGGAGGCAGGGGGAGTAATAGTGCCAGAAATACAGCTTTGTATTCCTGGCACTATAGTATCCCTTTAACAGTATTGTAATTAATGAAAGACAACTCTAGTAGTTAAAAAAAGAGGGATTACAGAATCTCAAAATGTAGCATGTACATAATTAGGCAAAGAACTGTGTGACATTAGGAAAACAAAAAATAAATGATCAGGCCTAGTGAATATATGATTAAATGGCTGCTTTGTGAGACGAGACTCACAGATGTGAAATAATATAAACAAAATGAGATACCTGTAGCTGTCGTATGCATGCAAAATTATAGAAAATAAGAGAAACTACTATTGGGTGTTAAAAGGGGGGGGGGGGAGAATCAACTAATTGGGTGTATACTGAGAGACTAGAGCAAGCAAATAGGCCAATTCCTCTTCGAGAGGCCTGGGCTCAATATAGATATAAACAAACTAGTAATAAAAAGAGAACCACGGCCAAGGGCTTAATCTGTGTATTCAGGGTAAGCCACAAGCCGGTAACAATGCAGGAAAACAGACATGCACACTGTGCAGACTAGTACAGTAAGTCCAGTACCCGGAGCGGCTCCACTAGGAGCCTGAGATCCAGGCTGGTGTAAAGAGCCATGTCATTGAGCCACCTTACTTGGATGCCCTCTCTGCCTCTTTCAGTAGAAATTAGAATATGATGTCTCTGTGTGGAGGTATTTCCCTTGGTAGGCCATTGCTGAGAAAGAAAAGGTCGCTGGTCCAACCCGGGCCTATACGTCAAGGTACCCCAAGGTATCTCAGGCACCGGGTGAGTATCGAAGACCTTCTCCCCCCCCCAGTCGCCATGCCAGAGCCTTGTAATTGTCTTGATTAGGGTGGGGCCCAGACAGTGGAACCTCTGTGAAGCTGCAATTGCTCCCAGAAAACAGCACAAGCAGTCAAATGTGTTCCCCTTTAAAGTTGTGAACGCCTCCCATGAGCCATGAAATTTGTGGGTTCATGCCCAGCTGCCATCTTGGATAAGTATAAGAGCACGCTCTGGAGTACTCAAGAAAGTCCCAGTTGAGGATCGGTAGATATAAATAGCAAGATAAGCCTCACTGGCGATGGGGGAAACAGGGTGTCTCCCCATATACTACACTGGCTTGGAAAGAAACATACCTAAATCAGCAGCTTCCCTGCCCGCTGGCCCTCCGCACTTTCTGATTCTGAAAATTCAGAAGCCGGATGCCGCCTGGGGGTAGTGGTCATTGCCGCTGAAGGCAACTTTGGGATTTAACACCTTGAGGTAAGATTGCCTCCAGGGGTCACCTGGCACCATTATAACTGTATTTAGATTTTGTTTTTTGGTGCCTGGAGTGTCGCTTTAATTTGAGAAGGTTTTTTTCCCCCCCAAGTTATTACCCTTTAAACTGTCCTTAGTAATTAAACACTGTATCTTTTTTTTGTTTTTTACATGGTACAAGTTTGTAACACTGCGGTAAATAACTTTGATCTTTTTGATCTGAGCAGCTACTTTACAGTCAGATTACTGTCAGAAAATAAGCACTGTTAATTATCACCGCTCCCCAATATTTTTCACTTTGAACTCCAATCACAATATCACAGTTTATCGGTGCATTTGACTTTTCTAGTCATTCATTTTTCTAGTCCCTGTCGACCATATATTTTTATAGCTGCAATATATTTTGAATTTCTGGCTTATTTTTCTAAAATTTCTATTTTTTAATATTTTTTTATTTCTTGGCTGTCAACGACAGATGTACTTTAACCCCTTAAGGACACATGACATGTGTGACATGTCATGATTCCCTTTTATTCCAGAAGTTTGGTCCTTAAGGGGTTAAACGTGCAATCTGGCATTTCAAGATTTTCTTTATAAAAAGCTAAGAATTTTCAAGTATAAATAGAGTCAGGATAATAAGTAGGTATTGGATATGTTCTAATGAGTATCCAGGATTAATTAAGTATAGTCAGAGCCACCGTTAGGCAAACTAGGCATTAGCCTAGGGCGCTGGCCTGCTGGGGACGCCTCCAGCGCTGGGCCGCTCCTCCAGGCGCCCGAAGGTGGGGGCACCCAGAGGAGCCCCCTAAGCTGTCTTTCAGTATGGCAGAGCAGGCACCTTCTTACCTTGACAGGTGCCTGCTCTGCCATCAAATACCGGTGACCCAGGAGAATGCAGGCGGCGAGGATGGCTGTTCTTGCATTCTCACTCCTCCCTCGAGCGCCCTCTGTGGTGCCGGGAGCCGGAATATGATGTCCTATTAAACAGCGGGCGAAAGGAGTGAGGAGCTGCCTCACACTGGACCCCAGGGAGGTTAGTATCTGTGAGTGTGTCTGTCAGTGAGTGTGCGTGTCAGTGAATGAGTGTGTGTCTGTCATTGAGTGAGTGTATGTCTGTTACTGAGTTTCTGTGTGTGTGTCTGTCAGTGAGTGTATAAAGTAGTAGAGATCCAGGTACTTTATTAGGAACCGCAACGTTTGGACCCCAAAAGGTCTTTGTCAAGCTCAGTGAGTGTATGTCTGTGTGAGTGTGTGTTTGTGTGTGTGTGTGTGTCTGTCTGTCAGTCAGTGTGTGTGTCTGTCAGTGAGTGACATGAGGGGTCTGCAAAAAGAATCTTTGCCTAGGGTGGCAGAAATCCTTGCAAGGGCCCTGAGTTTAGTTCATTGATTTATATTTCTCTTTTTAATAAAATCCTGTAGTGAATTGAACCCATTGTACAGCGCCGTGGAATTTGTTGGCGCTTTATAAATAGTAATAATATAAATAATTGGCATTTGCCACTGGACATAAATGGCATAGGTTTGAAGAGAGCCTAGATACACTACTCCGTGGCAATGAAAAGGTACCAGAAGAGGGTGCACCCTCCTAAGACAGAGATGGGAGGAGTATGTCTGCATAGCTTTTAAAATAATGCCCTGTGCAGGGATGACACGAACAGCTGCTGTGCGGTCTCCATACCATGCTTTCAGTCTCTCCTCCCATTGCTCCCTGACCCTGTAGCTCAGCCTCCAGTCTTTGGGAGTGGTTACAAGGGTACTGCCTGCTACACAGACATAGGAGCCCCTTCCCCTCCCTCCTGTGGTCCCTTATGAGATCGATAACTGCGGGTCCTGGGGATCAATTCAGAGCTGACACATTGATTGTGCCCTGGGAGAGGTGACAGTCCCTGGATCTGGCTGTAGAAGTGTAGAATGGTGGTGGGATGCTGCAGTCTCTAGCACCGTCGTAGAACGTAGAACCCTGACTCACCCTGGGACAGAGGGAGGCTCTGCGCTGCACCCAGATAGCTGGATACAATGTATACTTTCGTTGTGAGAGATGAGAACAGCACAGTGTATGCTGAAGTAGCTAAAATCCTCCTGGAATCAGGACAATGGAGGAGACTGAAAAGGGACAATCCTCGGTTTAACCTGATGCTGGGAGAGAGGAACAGGCTGCCTTTTGGGAGGCTGGGTAAGACTTCCTTGGCTCATTAATAAAACAAAAGATATAGCAATTCTTTTGTGTTTGCAATCATGTGATTCATTTGTATTCACTGGGAACTGAATGGACAGTGATGTGCTAAACTGCTTGGCTTCAATAGCTTTTTAACCCTTCCCTCTCGGTGCTTGCATTGAAGAAGTCTTTGGCAAGCATGCCAGTCACAGTGCCATCTGAAAGTTGGCTAGAAAAAGCTGTGATTGGGTGTAGCCCTCTGCAGTAAAAGGTAGCATGCTGGTTACTGCAACATCATTTGTGCTCTGCAGAGGTACAGATTACTTCTTTAAAAAATAATGATAAATATATATTCCCTTACATAAGCCCTGTATTCACCATTATTAATAATAATAATATAGCTCCAAAATATTCCACAGTGTTGCAATTAACTCCCAAGAGGTATCTGGTTACACTTTCAAAGTGCTTTTCAGTCATTTTAATGTATTATACTGAGTATTTATCCCTGTCACATTACCTGATTTATTGCAGAATTCTTGCCAGACATACACGATGCGAAAAAGACAAATGGCAACAGACGATTTTATTCTTAACTATAACTGCATAATTTATTTTATAACAATCCCCCATATGCAAATACAAGTAATGTTAGTATTTTCTAATGGGTTTGTCATGAACCACACACAAAGAATGTTTTGCCATTTTAATGTGTATCGCAAAATAGCCTTTGGCAGTCATTTTCATAAAATGTGGGTTTATTTAAAAGGAAACAAGAATCAATTGCCCCCTATTTTGCAATGCATTATACAGGCAATACATAATAGAGAAGCAACAGAATGAAATTAGAATGAAGAAGACACCTTTAAAGATTCCGAAACTTAAAAAAAAAAAAAAAGAGACTGTCTTCTGCTTCAGTCATAACTCTTCCATAACAGGAAGTAGCTTCAACAGTCAGGGCTCTCTCATTCTTATCTATGGGGCCTGATCTAGTTCTTTAAACTCCTGTCCAGAGTTTATTAAAATAAATGTTATCTCCCATGTGCAGTTCCACTCATCATATAGAGTTATTGGAATGGCTGAATAAACCAATAGTAGCCATTCCAATTTTGTGTACCGGGCTTTAAGCAGCTTGTGTGTGTGCTCCATGGAGGAGGAGAGAGACTTCCTATTTGTGCATGTGGAGTGTGCATGCTGTACAAACAAGTTGGACAAAATTGACACAGCAAGGGAGGAAGTGAAAACTGCTGTATCAAAACCCAGGCCCGGAATTGCTACAGTATGGTCACTCTCAGAAGAGAGAGGGGTGGCAGGTTACTATACCATACCCTTTGCAATGATACTTATAGTAGCCCTTTAAAACTTGGTTACTGTGCTAAAAACTGGCGAGTATCTTTGGACACATCAGTAATAATAGGCTCATAGTGATTTACCATTAAATAATAAACAATATGTCCGCTCTGAATTAATAGTAATGCTCACATAAGAATCAGTGCTTGTTAATGTTGGCACCCATGATTTTTGTAAATCCCATTTCCCGTGATGAACATTGTCTTGACATTACAGAGTTTCAGATAAGTGACAGTTCATCGTACCATCACCACAATAAATACTTTTATAGAATTTGTCTGGAGCAGCAGAGATAAAAACACTTTTCGTGTTTCAGGGGCTTTATTGCCCCATGATGTCTTGGGTGGACACATGCGCACTCTGAATTTTAACTGAGAAATTTTAATTCTCTCTGTTTGTGGTGTACAAATATTTACATACTTTGCCCGACCTCCTTCAGCAAAGTATATAACTTGAAATATAATTCATTTTATATATATATATATATATATATATGTGTGTGTGTGTGTTTTTAAAGTTAGATATTTGGTAGTGCTAAAAGTGAAAAAGTGACAGATCTTTAATTTTTCCATGTATAAAGTTGAAATAAACATGCAGACACTCCCAGGATAAGGGAATCCTGTAGGGATCAAGATGATATTGCCTTTCAGGGTGAGACTGATATACAAGATAATATAAGGTATCTCCAATGATGATAGCACTGTTATTATCTACCTTGACATGTATACTATCGTACAAATGATGTAAGACTGTGGTTCGATTGTGTAATTTGTTGCATTATATTGTAAACATGCCTTATGGTTCATGGACATAACGGCACATACATTGTCTATTTTATACTGCATGTTTGTACGAACTATATAGAGCTGTATTCTCAATTGTTTAGTTTTGTATATGTAGCATGCACAGGGTTCCTGGCATTTTAGAGTGATAGATGGGCACTCAATTTGTTTAGATGGTGAGGTACTATACAGTCGAGTGATGGATATATGGTGGTGAGTGGTGGGTAAAAAATAACGCTCTGTGCTGTAGGCTTGGTCATATAGTGCCATCTGACATGCATTGTAACTGGGGTGGCACTAATATTGGGCACCCTGTCGTCGTACTTTTCAAGGTTTGTACTCATTGTTTCATGTTAGAAATTAATTTTCCTTATGCTTTACAAAACCAAAAATTGACTAAATTGGCACTCATTGCCTGAGCGATTAAAGGGTTTCTCCAAGTAATATGGCCACTTTATTTGTTTTAAAAAAAAAAGCCTTTATGTGCACCATTTCAGTATGAAACATACATACCATGATATAACAGTTTGCTACCAGAATTGTATCTCCAGCTCTGGCAACCTTTATTACCAGCGTGGCACAAAGGAATCAGCGCCAAGGTACTCCTGGCATCATAGCCTCTACACCGGATTATAGTGGTTATGATGCTTGAAGTAACCCTTTCAGATGAGGAGGGTCAGAAATCATGGAGTAAAAGCAGCCCCCCTCCTAACCCCTCCCCACCTTTTTATGCTTTCTTGTGTGCCAGTTTAACCCCTTAAGGACCAAAATTCTGGAATAAAAGGGAATCATAACATGTCACACATGTCATGTGTCCTTAAGGGGTTAAATTGGTTGCTCTTTATCCTATAATAGATCCTTTAGGTTTATTTATAAAAGTGTCCCTAACATAAGAGTGGTGTAAAGTTCCAAGTGGAATGGTCTCCATGAGTTCTTATGGAATCTGCGGGAACATTCTGTTGGTTTCCATGGTGATTACTTCTTTTTCAAAACTTTGCACGACTTTCTAATTTTGCAACACTTTGACATATTTCTTATTTTGCTTCACCTGCCAGCCTATATAAAAGTTATGTAAAAATATACCAACTAATTCCTTACTGTTTGCACATTCTGTTCTTGTTCGTACAGGTCATGAGCCTGGGCTTGTTCAATTAGTGAATTATTACCGTGGTGCCGATAAGCTTTGCCGTAAAGCTTCTTTGGTAAAGTAAGTGAAAATCACTTGTTTTGTTCTTTTTTTTTTTGTTTGTTTGTTTTTTTTTTTTTAATATCATAGTGCTTAAAAATCTCCGCAGGCTTGGCATCATTCCTGACATCTAAAATTAAACGTTTCAAGTAGATCTAAATATTTTATACTCGCAAGCACCTGCATAATTCCCTGTCAGACTTTCCTTTGATCTGAATGTGTGACGGCCTAAATAAGCATAGTTCTATACCTATAAGATTATTGAATATATATATTTTTTTATTTTTTATTTTGTTAGGCTTCCTGAACTAGACATGATAATTACATGCCCTGACCAAGAGTAAATAATACGTAGTTACTTACTGAATTAGGTACAGCAGTCTCTATTTTGACAAAACAGTGGATTTACACAGCTTATTCACCTAAACCAACAGAAATCTTAATTCCAGTAACTGTACAATGCCTTTCAGAGGTATCTTACCTCACAAATTGAGCTATACAAGTGCATTTTTAGATTTAGCAATCTGGAGTGATATATCTGTCATTTACATATCTATTCCAGTCTAGAGCCATGATTATTAAAGGGACACTATAGGCAATGTATCTACTTCATCTCATTGAAGTGGTTATAGTGTCTCGAGTCCCCGGCGCTGTCCTTCCATTCAGCATTAAACTGATTTTAATGTTTCAGTGCTAAACAGAGTCCAGAGCAGCCCATCCCGTCTGTGCTAACTTGGCTAACGAGGACGCATTAGCCAGAACTGCAATTTGCCAAATACAGAGAGAGTCCAGGCACAGAGATTGCATCATACTGCAGAATTTTTATTGGAATGAGCACAATATAACAACGTTAAGACCAATATAGACTGCCTTTCTCACATCTCTCTCAGCATTTGGAAGTATTCTTGGGGATTTGCCTGAGCCTGAAAAATCAGTATATTACTTGGATTAATTACCTCATAGAATGTGTGCAATCCCTGCTGGAAACATATTTGAACAGCAGTGGGCGACTATGATTGGCTCCAAGTGTCAGTTGACCTCTTTCAGTCTATCACAGGGCCATTGCAAGTATGGATTGGTATGGCTACAAGGAAGTGTGTAATCTCTGCCTTAGCTATACCTCAAGTGGAGGCTGAGTGCCTCTTGGAGGCCAGGAATTCTTATTCAGTGATAAACTTCTCAAAAATTGTGTAACACTGAATGGAAGGGCAGTGCCAAAGAACTCCAGGCACTGTAACCTGTTCAGTGAGATGAAATGGTTATAGTGCCTACAGTGTCACTTTGACTAAAATATGAATTCTTTAGAATTCAGAGTAAATTTCATATTGCCTAATAAATAAACCTTCTCCAAGTCGACTCTATTTTCAGCTTGATTATTTAGATTTCACCTTAAAGGGCTCTTTGGGAAGAGCATGAAATTATATCTATACATTGTGCTATGCCCATGATTTTACTGATAAGAGAGCGCAGAAAAGATCTCCCACAGTTGGATCTTCTGCTCTCCCAGTCATGTGCATGGTAGTTCTGGAAAATCCCTAGCCGACGCTGCTTGCGCTGACTAGGGAGTATAGGAATGGAGTTACTGATATCACGAAGATGCTGGCAACAAAACAAAAAAAAAGCAAATAAAAGAAGACCAGAGGAGGAGGGGAGGACCAAATGGAGATGGATGTTGCATGAAGAGGAACACCCACAAAGCTCTGAAGAAGACATAGCTGGGACCAAGGTGAGGTGAGTATATCTCAATATTTTACATTGAATACATCATGTATCTTTACGATGTATGATGTATTCAATTTATTTTGGGGTGATTTAGGGTAAGTTCTTTTTTTCATAACTGGTTTGCTTTAATTTCCTGACAGTTCATGAATAACCCTGTGTGTAGGGCAGTGAAAAAAGTATTCGTCCATTTTCTGATTTTCTGCATTGCTGATCATTTTTGGAATAGAATATTATCAGTTCTACAACCAAAACTATAGATTGGGTATTATTATTATTTTAATGTGTGTTAAAAATATTTGTGACGAATGGCGTTCAACAAGCGCACATGCAGTCAGACACAGGGACACAGGACACGTGTACCTGGTGCAGAGCCACATGTGTAGAGACCATTGATTTAATTTCTAATTACTGAGATTCCCCTCTGCACAATTACATAACAAATCTTTATGATGTGTACATAACACGTAAAGGAGCACTCTAGACACTAACGAGGTGTCTGCAGTCTGTATTTTTTTTACCTTTTATAAAAGTAGATCTGCAGCTTTTACAAGTTTTTTTTATTTCATATACCTCCCAAAAAATGCTGAAACAAATGCTTTCTTTTGGGATATATCTACTTAATAGTTAAAAAAAAAATTAACTGTAGTGTCCCTTTAACATTTCAACTTAAACTGCAGTAGATTTCTCATTTAAGGGAAGTATCACCTCTATTTTGGGACATATGCCTCATTTATACAGAACACATTTACACCCCTACCCACCGGTTTATTAAACAGATTTTATTTTTCATTCAGAATGTTTACATGCCTGCAACAGAAGGAATATAATATCAATATAATTGATTTTTTTCTCTCTCACTGTCCGATACAGATTAATAAAAACCAGTCCAGAACTTTCAGAATCTTGCACTTGGTTCCCAGAATCCTATGTGATTTATCCTGTCAAAGAAAAAACACAAGTTGCAAGAGCAAGCAATGGACTTCATGATCTCATCAACAGCACACGAACAGATGAGCGAGAAGAGTTTTTGACATCTTTCAATGAAAAGAAAGATAATGGAGAGGGAAACGTGTGGATCGCTAAATCCTCCTCGGGCGCCAAAGGTAAGACCTGGTTATGTTCATTATTTGTAACACTAAGCACGATCCATTTTGTTATAAAAAGAGACACTTAATTAAGATGGTTTATTCTCATTTTGTAACTTTTTTTACAGTGCAGTTAACTGCAGACCCAGGATGGTGGGTTTTGTTTTGTGCTTAGTAATTTACATTTCCCAAGACAAAATTTAGATTATATTTCAAATTTGGTGCAACTTCAAAACAAGTGACCTAACTAAAAAGATGAAGAAGTCCCCGAATGAGCATGCCGAATTACAAGCAAATATTTGCGTCTTACCTGCTTAACCCCTTAAGGACACATGACATGTGTGACGTCATAATTCCCTTTTATTCCAGAAGTTTGAATCTTAAGGGGTTAATATCTCTGTAGCATTTGTGTCACAGATGGTTCCAAGTCCGCTTGTCTTACAACAATACATTTATTGTTCAAGCAGACAACATTCCTTACTAGGAACTGCAATTAATGTGGAGATATATGGTGAGAAAAAAACTAGATGTACATGTGTAAAAACTATTTTCATAAATAAAGAGGAGGATCTTTGTTCAGAAGATATATCTGCCCACCCAGTAATAATAATATCTTCAGAACCAAGATTAGGAACTCTGTCTCCCTGCTGTCAACAAACTGCAAGCCTATAATCTACCATTTGCCAAAAAATAAAGAGTATTGTTTGCAAGTGAATGGTAGTGGTTTTTAAGGAAACCCTACAGTTCCTAAGTGTGTGATAATGTTTTACCAGTTTTCTAGATAAACATTTGGGTTACATTGTGTGACTGTGTTTCCATATATAGACATTGATGGGTTTAGGGATCTAAAGCTCTGCCTTCCACATGGTATTAAACGAAAGAATTAAATCTGGTCCTGTGTGGATTACAATTAGAGCTGGGCTTCTTAGGAAAATGGTTGCTTCTCTGAAAACGTGAATATCTGAGTCTTCATGAGGACAAACTCGGAACACTTTACATTCTGATTTGAGGTGGAGGGAGGGTGAATAAATCGTTTCTATGTACTTCTTTTTCATTCTGAGGTAAAACAATTCACTGGTTCTTCTGTAATTAATTGAAGAATTCTAAAATGATTAGAGCTTCGATATACGAGTAGTAGAATTTTAAAATGGCCTGAATATATGCTATAGAAATAGTTCAATTTGTGGTAAGCGCTCCAGAAACCCTGGAAATGGTGCATGTGACTCCAGATGTGCGATCCTGTTTGCACAATAGAAGAAAATAGATTCAAATTTAGAAAATGGTTTTCTCATAATAAGATTAGTGTGCTTTGTGAGTAGAGTACATTTTTCTGAATCTTGCAGGAACTTTTCATTAATTTCTTTGTTCGCTTTACATGTGTTTTTTCTGTGTGCAAAGAGTTTTTGTTTGTTTTTTGTGTATAATGGCTACCTTGACCAGGAATTATTATTCTTACAGAGAAGCCTTATATCCTGTGATAAAGGTATTAATGTATATTTTGCTTCTTTGATAGGGGAAGGGATTCTTATATCCTCTGATGCCAGTGAGCTTCTCAATTTCATAGACAATCAAGGCCAAGTGCATGTTATTCAGAAATACTTGGAGCACCCCATGTTGCTGGAGCCTGGTCACCGGAAGTTTGATATCAGGTAATCTCTTTAATGCATCTCAAGCTGGAACTATTTAGTTTTGCTAGATCTGCTGTTCCCATGACAACTGCATACTGTGCCTGTGTTAGTGAAGTAGTTAAAATGCACCTGAAAACAGAATATTATATTAACTTATGTATAGAGGAAATCATATCTTTTAAGGGCAGCGCCAGTGCAAGCATTTTTGCTGCCCTATTCAAAAACAAATTTGCCGCCCCATTTGCTTCACCCAATCATGCAGACTAACACACACGCTGATTAAAGTAGACACACACTGACCAATGCAAACTGACACACGCACTAACCCATGTAGACTGACGCTCACTGGCCCATATACACACACTGATCCATGCAGATACACACATATAGAGAGACACTGACCCATGCAGACACACACATATAGAGAGACACTGACCCATGCAGACACACACATATAGAGATACACTGACCCATGCAGACACACAGTGGCCCACTGACCTATACAGATACACATACTGACCCATACAGATATACACACTGACCCATACAGACACACACACTGACCCATACAGACACACACACTGACCCATACAGACACACACACACACACTGACCCATACAGCCACACTGACCCATACAGACTGACATACACAAACATACTGACTGAAGCAGACTAACACACATTCTCTGGCACACATCTTGCCTTCATTGCTGTTTCTTGCCTGCGCCTGGCTGCCATATTTTCTGTTATGCTCCCTCCCACTTCTCCCCACGTACAAGGGAAGGGGCGGCCCCCGTCGCCACCATGGATGTCTAGGAGGGGGGTCCTGGCTGAGTGGGCTGATGTGTATGCCTCCGGACCGATATTCTACCGGGCGCTAGTGAGCAGCCGTGGCCAGCGGCCTGCTCAAAATAATCTAACTTGATGGAGGGGCAACCGCAGCACAAACTACCGTTAACCCAGGGCAGGCGCCCTCTCTTAAGCAGTGCCCTAGGCAGACGCCTAATTTGCCTATAGGAAGCGCCGGCCCTGTAAGGGATACTGTAAGCACTAAAATAACTTTACCTTTAAGGAACACTCAGAGCAGCTTACCTAATAGAGTGCACTGGTTTCCCCAATGTAAGGAATCAAACCATTTAGTAACAGCTTGAGTTCTTAAATGCCATCCCCTGGACTACACTCCATGGCTCCTATCTGCCAGAAGGAGCTTCCATTAGCTCTGTTTAGCTCATTGCTGATCACTCTCAGTCAATGAAGAGAGCTTCCGGCAAAGAGGAGGTGTTACTACATGGTTTCACGCCTAACACTAGGGTTGAGGGGTTACCAAGGCATGTTTGGCATCATGACCACTATAGTATGCTGTCGTTTTTTATGTTGATTGAACTTTAATCACACACAGGTGAATGCTGCGTGCTCTGGTAGGCAATTAAAGCAGGAGATAAGAAATTCTAAATTAAACATCCCGCAACAGACCTCTTTTTCCAGGAGTGTGTAGAGAGGCTGTGGGAATCACAGCCAGGTGAGGGGTGCATACAGTGTCCCTTTAATCATTTAAGGACCAATGTCCGTTTACACTTTCATAACATTCAGTTATGTTAGGATCCTTTTCTAAACTGGAATTTACCACTCAATTTAAGCGTCCATTTGTGAAAAAATTACAATATTGAATGAAAAATGGAAAGTCACCGGAAACTTGTGTTGCCATTTTGTAATGTCATGCTGTTTTCTTTTAACTGTATATTCAATATTTAGTCATTGAGATCACAGGTCAGTTCAATCACAGCTAGGTCTCACAGTGCATTACAGGATGAGAACCAGAAATATTGTGTTAGCTTCTCCTCTTCCCCCTAAGCTCCCTCTATTATGACTGACAGAAGCAAGGGCACGGTTTAAACAATGCTTGTCAGGGAGTCCGAATGGCAGTACACTGTTACAAAATAGTCAAAAACAACAACACAGAAACTATTTGAAATTAATACGAAAAAAAAGAAATTAAGTTGGTAAAAAGATGGTAATAGACATTTTTTCCCATTATCTAGGAGCTGGGTTCTTGTAGACAATCAATACAACATATTTTTGTATAAAGAGGGTGTGCTAAGGACCTCCTCTGAACCCTACAATGACTCTGACTTCCAAGACATGACCTCCCACTTGACCAATCACTGCATCCAGAAGGAACATTCTAAAAACTATGGACGGTATGAGGAGGGAAACGAAATGTTCTTTGAAGAGTTCAATCAGTATCTTGAGACGTCTCTAAATACCAATCTTGAAAATGGCATCTTATGGCAGATAAAACAAATAATAAGGTAATTGTTTACTACTGACTCTGGTATTGAAAAGCTGACAGGTAAAAATAAAAATTAAATCTTACATGTATTCTTATTAGTAAAAACATTTGTATAAATACAATGTAGAATGTGCTCAGTCAATTCATATGTATACAAACGACGCCACTGCACAAAATTACACCATAAATTGTTACCTTGATATGAATATCCTCTGTTTGTTTATCCCACTTTTACCTTTCTCTTGTTATGGTGCATACACACCAAATGTATGTACTCACCTTGAAAACGCAAAAATAAAGAATTTTTTTTAAAAATGTTGAATGTGAATATTTAAACTTAGGTAAATTGTAAGAATTTGTTTAAAAACTGAATAGTGTACCTTTTGCATAATGATGAGGATAAAAAGTTGCCAGGTGGCTATTAGCAGCTGTGAGACTGGTTTCATTCATTATTAGAAATGAAGCACATTAAGGCTTATCACACTTATGTGTGTGGTATTGGTCGCCATAGGTACTGGGTGTATCCCTTAAAGCATCACTGCCCTTAATTGTGACCCTGTACTGGTTTGTAGAATAGAGTCTCACTTGCTTTTTTTCATTTCTTGCATGAGATCTGTCTATTTGCATTGACCAGTATATAAGATGATGTAGGACTCTCTTGTTCTTTGCCCACACAGAGTCTGTCTGACCTGCATCGAACCTGCAATTAGCACCAAGCACCTGTCCTACCACAGTTTCCAGCTGTTTGGTTTTGACTTTATGGTTGATAGGAATCTGAAGGTCTGGCTGATCGAAGTCAATGGTGCCCCGGCCTGCGCTCAGTAAGCCATCTGTTAATTATTAATTTTATAACAAGAGCAGCAATGGTTAACACCGAACACATATAATACATTCTGACTATAAAGCTAAATCTGTAATATTTATATTTTTGATTGTCCAATTCTCCTCTCGTGAATATGTGAACTAAATTTCCCAATATTTAAAAACACGTCTTAGTTGGGCATGAAGTGCCTTCAGCTCTTCAGTTTTTTGGTTTTTTTAACTTGTCTCTACCTGTGTTTTTTTTCTAATTTGAAACCCATAAATAATGTAATATTTAAGGTACATTTTTCTGCCGGCATATTTTTTCAATTAGAAGTACAATGGATGTGCTTGCACTTTATCTCCAACGTTTATTCTACTTGATACTCACGAACACAGTCACCATGTGTGTACAACAGTAACCTGCAAGGGGGGTTGTTTAGTTACTATGGCACTGAATATGTTTGCAATCGACATTTCATGTGGTTGCTGAGTATTATATCATTTAAATTCACGTTAAACCACAGTGCTATGGTTATCAATCACTGCCCTGTGGTGTATTAGCAAATGTATGTTAAAGGTTACTTTGGCTTGACAGACATTTTAATTGTTTTCTTCTTATAGAAAATTATACTCCGAGCTTTGCCAAGGTATTGTGGATTTAGCCATTTCCTATGTCTTTCCAATGGATGACACTGTTCCGAAGCAGACCCCTGAGACAGCTTTCATCAAGCTCTGAAGACAATATGCTATCTATGTACACACACACACAAGCTTGGCTGCTGCCTATTTATTGTCCGAGAACTAGATTACAAATATTTCACTTTGTATCATGTCCAAAAAAGGATAAATGAACACATTTTGGAAAATGATATCTACTGCAAAAGACTCAAGGATGACCCAAAGTGACAATGCTTTGCTTAATCATGCCAAACATTTTTTTGTTTTGAATATGATTTTTTTACACTTATTATCATTGTTTTTATTATTATTATTATTATTATTATTGTTGTTTTTTATTTATAGGTAGAATGAAGGAAATATTTAGAAAAAAGTACACAGTGTTGTAAGATGTGGAGACAGAATGTGAAATTCTTCAATTTTCTGTCTTCAAACCAGTAAAGTTTTATTGACAAGGTTTAGAGAGACTTGTCATGCATTTTATGGTAGAGCCATATTCATGTCCCTTTATGTCTTTAAATCTATATTGTATGCTAGAAAAACATCTCTATATAGCAGTTTGATTAATTGAAATATTTATTAATTACCATACCAATACCATTAATATCCTATTTGCTTGTGTGCCTAAAGGGACACTATAGTTACCCCAGACCTTCATTGAGATGAAGTTATTTGGGTGCAGTGTTCCTGTCCTTTTAATCCTGCAATATAAAACATTGCAATTTTTTTAGAAATGGCAAAGTTTACATTGCTAGGTTCAGGGATAGACATGTGCATGCCTTATGCTATAGTGTCCTTGTCATGATTTAAGTGACCGTGTTCTCTCCCTGCACATCCCCCCTTGGGAAAGTATTTAGAGGCTAGTGCGCATGCACATCAGAATGCCACACTGCGGCAATCATATGGACTCTACATAACCATGTGATTTGAAGTTGCCAAGTTTAACTCTGCTATTTCCAAGGAAGTGCCTTTAAACCCTGCAATGTATGGCAATGTTTTAACTTGCTGGGTTAAATGAAGGGGGCATGGCACCCAGGCCACATTATTAAGATGACGTGGTCTGGGTACCTATAGTGTCCATTCAAGTTCTACTGCAAGTTCTACTGCACAGACTGAGTAAAACCCTGCCCTGTGATACAAAAGCCCATAGGAAAGCAATGGATAAATGCTTTCCTATGGGGAAGCTGGAATGCGCATGTGCATTAGGTATCCATTACTCCGTTATGAGGAGGATTGGATTGGACCATGCTGTAGGATGCCCTGCCTCCTCTGTGTCATCGCTGGATCAGTGGTGAGCATTGCCCTGGGGTTATTTTTTCTAAACGTGGAAGGGGGAGGCAGAGGGGATGAGGGGAGTCAATATAGATCTAGGGACAGGGGCACTATAGTGTTAGGAATACAGGTTTATATTCCTAATGTTATAGTATGCTTTTAAGCATACATACTTTGCTCAAGGGTTAAGTTGCAGAGGATTCTGGGTTAGACTTCGGATGAGAAATGGAAGTGGCATGGTATAATAAATATTTAATTCACTCCATATCTATACCTCTGCTATACGTGTAGCTAGCACAATACATGATAGGTAAAATAAATGGGGGCGTTTGAACAGGGCTCTTTCATTTTGTACGTGGCATAGTCCTTTTTCAGGATCATAAGTAAGTGTATCAACTGTGATGTCTGTCTTCATGAAAAGGGAAGGTGTTGGAGAATAACCTCTCTAGCTGCATTATAGTGCCTTAGAATTTTAACTCTGAATTTGCCTCCTTTTCTTCTTAATATCTCCTTTAGAATTTGTTCTTGTTGATATTTAATATGATCAGTTTTCTAAAGCAAGAGCTAACAGGCACATTTGATGCCCTTATGTCATGTGCTGAATAACGTACCCCGCTTTGCATTGATGGTCACACCAATGCTGTTCCTTGAAGTAAGTTTATTTGCGAGGTGTTTACAATCTCTTAAACATTGTTGCTAAGATGGAGCAGTTTTTCTTGCAGACACATCCCTGCAGAAACAGACATTCACCAGGATGTTCATAAAAAAACAACAACCCGCAAACAGTTGCAAATAAAATCAAACTGCCGGGCGTTAATAGAAACATTGTTAGCAACTTCCGACAGCCAAAAGGTCAAAGCTGCATACTGCTGTGGCCTTTAGATTATTCTATATAAAACCATCTGCAGAATAAAATAATCGACTATTTGGAGGCAGGTGCTATTACTAACAATATTCCTTTTTGTTTTTATTATCAGTATGATAGAATATGTGTTGCAAGGAAAGTGATGTTATTCCCAAACTGCTGAAAACTTGTGGATATATATTTGTCACAATAGCCATTTATTGTAACCAATAACACTCTGAGATAGCATGGCAGCTGAAAGAAAGAATCTTCACTCCCCTCACCATATCACTTTACTATTTTAGATTCACTCATCAATAATATATTAAAGGAATAGTCTATGTTGAGAGAAAAAAATAACTAGTTATTTTTTTGTTTTTTACGCTATAGTATTAAGATTATTTTATAGTCATTAAAGGAACACTATAGTGTCTGGATTACAAACGTAGGTCCTTGACTCTATTAGATTGCTCTGAAAAAAAGCGATTTAACTCACCTTTTATGCCGCGGCTGACCCCACCTGTCTCCACTTCCCTGGCTGAGAACATCAAACTTAATGATCTCAGCCATTGCAGTGTTTTTCCATAGAAAGCATATTGGAAGGCCATGCTGCGCAGATCAACATTTCCTCATAGAGATGCATTGAATCAATGCATATTTGTTGGGAACATTCAGCGCCTCCATGCAGAGCGTGGATACAATAAACGACAGATTAGGACACCTCTCTAGTGGCTGTCTGAGTGACTGCCAATAGAGGTGTTACTAGGCAGCAATGTAAACACTGCCTTTTCCCTATAAAGGCAGTGTTTACACTGAAAAGCTTGAAGGGGATATAGGCAGATACCATAGTGATTGAATGACGGCCACTAAAGTAGTGGGCATTACAAAATATAAACAGTGCCATTTCTCAGAAATAACACTGGTTTTATCTCCAAGTCTGCAGGGGCATCATCTATGCCCCAGGATAAGCGATTTTGATGCTTAGATTTTTATTTTCAATGTATTGCTTTTCTGCTTTAGCATTCAGTATTTTATCTTGAAAAGTATACATGCAGAAAACAAAGCATACTATATTTTTAGTACATTCCCAATGAAAATATTTACACATTAATGTTAGCGGGACATAATTGGAAAGGGGCTAAATATGTTGGAATATACTAAGAGGAAAAGTGACACTTCCCGATTACTTTAAAAAAAAAAAAACTAAAATAAACTTAAAAACAATTTTGAACCCCCTTAAAAAAAGATAAATGTCAGAAAACGTTGATAGAAATCCTGCATTGCATGTACAATTCACATAAGATGAGAAGAAAAAAAATAAAACCTAATGTAACTGGACCTAAAATCCACAATATTGCCCACTTTTACAATATTTTAAATATTTTACACATTCACAAAATACTACATACTGAAAAGTGTTTTATACCTTGAATCTGTGATTCACACGTTCATTATACAGCAAATGTATCTCACATTATTGTATGCACGGAATATTTGCAAAGCGAGCAGCTTTCTTGTTCACTGAGAAAGTGAAACCCTTGAACTGTTAATAAGATATTTATAAGAAGCCGTGTGTACTGGACAAACTTAATGGATTTAATAACCTTTTTTTTTTTTTTTTTGTTTCCTACATCCTGGCAAAGTTGACTTCACAAAGCCAACATGCTGTGGTGTCATAATTTGTCCCCACTTTTCAAAAAACCTGTGCCATTGAACTTCTGACACTGTCTACGCTGTGCATTTTTCAGTAAGATAAATATTTACAGGGTTATTCACTACAGTGTGAATTGTCCGGAATTCACGGCAAATTTCAGGAACAGCCAATACAATATTTTGTGTGTCCATTTTGGCCCAAATAAAATTGAAAATTTGTGTTAAATTCCTAATAATTAATTTCTTTAATAATTAAATGCCTATAAGGAACACTTTCATTCACTGAATTCCCAGCAACATTGAATTCTCTCCTGTGAATATATATTCTTATAGAAGAGAATAGCAGGTTGCAAATTTGAATGTATGGTTGAGTCACTCATTAACATGTTGAATTTATAAATAAAAAGAATGTAATAAAAATCACCAAAATGAATTTAATACTGAAGTTCACAAGACACATGAAAAATAAACATTATCATAACTTTATTGTCTTTTTTTTTTCTTGAACTATGTTTATTTCATGTAATACAATATAAGTGTCTCTTTAATATAGTTGTGCACATAAGTATGTTCAGGTCATGCAGACATCTGACATTAAAGTTTGAAATGGTGAATACATGTTTTAATAAAGACTGCAAGCTTTTAGTGATGATACAGTATCTTGTGTGAATCACAACATATTACTGTCACAGAGCCATAGACTGTGTGGAGACTATAAGCACCATTTTATATATATATATATATACATACACATATACACACACACACACACTGAACAAAATGATAAACGCAGCACTTTTGTTTTTTCCCCCATTTTTCATGAGCTGAACTCAAAGATCTAAGACTATTTCTATGTACACAAAAGGCCTATTTCTCTCAAACATTGTTCACAATTCTGTCTAAATCTGTGTTTGCAAGCACTTCTCATTTGCCGAGATAATCCATCCACCTCATAGGTGTGGCATATCAAGATGCAGATTAGACAGCATGATTATTGCACAGGTGTGCCTTAGGCTGGCCACAATAAAAGGCCACTCTAAAATGGGCAGTTTTACTGGATTGAGGAGTTTCGGGGGGGGGGGGTTGAGAACCAGTCAGTATCTGGTGTGACCAACATTTGCCTCACCCAGTGTAACATCTCCTTCACATAGAGTTGATCAGGTTGTTGATTGTGGCCTGTGGCCTCTTCAGTGGCTGTGCAAAGTTGCTGGATTTTGTGAGGACCTGGAACACGCTGTCGTATACGCTGATCCAGAGCATCCCAAACATGCTCAATGCAGTGGTGTATCCTGGTTTTGTGCTGCCCTAGTTCATTATCTCCGTGATGTCATATTCCGGCTCCCAGCCTCACTCTGCGGATAAAACTGTGTGATAAAACTGCCCATTTTAGAGTGACCTTTTATTGTGGCCAGCCTAAGGCACACCTTTGCAATAATCATGCTATCTAATCAACATCTTGATATGCTACACCTGTGAGGTGGATGGTGCTCACTAACACAGATTTGTGAACAATATTTGAGAGAAATAGGCATTTTGTGTACCTAGAAAAAGTTTTAGATCTTTGAGTTCAGCTCATGAAAAGTGGGGGCAAAAACAAAGGTGTTGTGTTTATAATTTTGTTCAGTGTATGTATTGTGATTCTTGTCTGCAGGTAGCACGGTCCTCTAGGGTAAACAACAGGCACAGTCCTTTGGTTTTCATGTAATCCAGGCAGTTTTATTGTTAAACTCCACCACAGCTACAGCAGCAAATAAAAAAAAAACAACAATAACACAAATCCCTATAAACAAAAGCCTAGCTCGTCTGAGCACTAACTAACATCAGACTCCCTCTCTCTCAGGGTTTAAACTAGAACAAAATAATATTTGTGTTCACCAACCTAGTGCCTTTGTCAGATCTCTGCACTCACACTTGGTTAGCATGTGGCTTCCATTCCTTCTAGAAATAAACAAAATTCTCTCTCTTTTCCACACTCCCAGTGCTCCAAGCCAGCCTTGACTGCTTTCCTTTTACACTCCCAGTGCTCAGTCTCCTTGACTCTCTCACTGGAGAGAACAGCCTCTCTCCAACCTGCTTCCAGGGAGGAAGCCAGCAATCCCCCCATCTTTTCCTGCCTAGCAGGGAGGGATTTATTCCCACTGCAACAGCTGATTATCTGCGACTCAGCAGTACGTTGGAGACAGATCCAAAAAACTCTGGCCTGGACCTTATTTCTCCCAGTTGTGTATAAACTGTGGAGTGGAGCATTGGCCCACCCTGCTCTCCAAATGCTCCACCCCAGGGGCCCATAACTAAACGGTGGTTTGTGTTGCCTACAACACATACTACACATACTCCCCCTGGGGTTAAATGTTATAGGCCTATCTGTCTTCACTTTATAACAGTATATACATATATAAATGATTTTCACCAAAAATGAAGGGATACATTTGCAAGAAGAGATTTGCTTCTCACTGCTTTAACAGCAGGCAATACATATTTCAAGATTTAAAAAAAAAGATAAAAAAGAATACAATAGTGCAATGCATCACATAATGACAAACCGCAGAACTGAAATAAAAGACTTCAAAGCTCTACGTTTATACCCCGCTGCTAAGTGAAATCAATCAGCAAGGGCACAGGGTGACATTCCATAATGCAATCTATCGAGAGGAACAGGAAGGCATATTAATCTAAAGACTTGACCTGATTTTAGATGTGCCTCTCCCAAGCTATGTACATCTCCCTCCTGTTTATCTGATCACTGTATGTCCTTGACGGCTGTTTATTCCATTGGTATAAATCAGTACAGATGCTGCATGTAAGCCAGACCAGTAGAGATCTATATTTTAAAATGTGGGTGTTATTGCATGAATACATATGTATATTAAAAACTTATTCTTATAACTAGGGAATTGCTTGCCCCAAAATACTCATGATATCAGTGCATTGATACCTAATAACTCTGGATCATTTGGCACTGCTCCCAATAGTGAGTGTATAATAGGCAAGAATAGATTTTTACCTAACTGTACTGCATGTTTCAATCAACCGCTGTACACCACCTATGTATCATACATCCAGCCGTGCAACTATAAGAAAATGTTTCTCTTCAGCCATTTCAAGTGATGTGTAAATGTCAGTAAAACACTTAGACCAAAACTGTGTTTATGTAGACACCTCTTACTATTAGTACGCTATTTATAATGAAGAAAAATAAGTACAAGAAGACATGTAGTTAGCTCATTTTCTTCCTTTGTAGAAATCCTGTGTACGTGTGGCAACTGTTAGCATTGGAACAGTTTTTATAGCACAGTTTGCATTTGACTTTCACGGAAAGGCAAACCTGAAAATTTACAGCAACTAGAAGTGTTTCCAACTGAACAGACAATTCGTCCCAGTGAGGAGACCTTGAGGACTGATGGATGTGGTCAACAGAAATGGCGGTGTTAGGTATTCTCCACTACAGCTGTGTAATAAAAGATCTTAAACTTAGGAATAGTGCCTCTGAGAGAATTGTCCAATAAGATGTGTGTTTTTCATCAGCTCCATGCCCATAGAATATGCCCATTTATCCTTAGGAAGGGATGCAGGAGAACAACACTATGTGTACTGACTGGCTATAAACGTATAGTTTACTTTGAACACAGCCCAACATCCTCCTGTGACTACCTCTTTCTCTCTCCCATGCTACATTCCAGAATAAAACTTCAAACTAGTAAGAAAAGAAGAAGAGAAGCAGAAATATCAATCATGGGCAGAGAGGATTCAGAGTTTGTGATTGAGAGATGGAAGAGAGAGATTGACATAGGGTACGTGTGTTCTTAAAAATGTATCTTGGAGCACCATCTCCACCAGATCCAAGACACTCGGAAGGTATGGCTGTTATAGTCCTTTCTATCAGAAAGATTCTAAAACTAAGCCCATTATAATTGGCAGCATTACACCCAATAGGCCTCCGATCCCCAATGACTTGACAATGTGGCGTCTGTTTTGAGGAGGACTGGCACAGGACTGATATCAAATTATTGTGCAGATTTATTTTACGTAAGAGGCCAATTTTTTACTTTACTACATTTTGGTTTTATTGGGGATTTTTCAACACCTCTCAAATTGCATATATGTTGAGAATCCTACAGTGGTTACTGAAGGGAAGAGGATCTCTGCAATATTTTTGCATTGATTTGAGTTATGCCAGGACTGTGGAACCCGAGAATTTTATTTACTCTAGACAAGTTAGTCATGAGGAGAGAAGACTTCAAATATTGTGATTATTGAAAGCAGTGATATAACAAAGAACAGTGTACCTCAAAGGGAACTAGAAAGCAAATCGTATACTATGTACAGTATATTCCTAATGGGATGCCAGTAGTACCCTCACTAGACTCAGTAACATAGAAATTCAAGAAACAAATACATTTTATTAACGAGAAAAAGACAATACTATCGTTTAAAAAGTGCTCGAAGTGCTCAGAGTACACACGTGATAGAACTGCAAGTATATGTAAAGTGGACAGAATAAAGGATCATGAATTATGGGCTATTGTTATAATAGCCCATAATTATTGCCAAAAAAGGTTCTGTCCACCAATACTTGCAGAGGGAAAGTGTGTGTATGGGAGAATCTAAAGGCCGCTTACACGTCTGTATACTGTATAATCCTATATCGGGCATAGTGGTTGTGAGTGCTTATTTCAGCATAATATCCGAGTGGTATTAAATATCTAATAGGATGTAAAATCTATTGCTAGTAATCGAATACACAAATTAACCCCTAAGTTGCTGCTGGGGAACTAAACTCCAACCACTCAGCTGTAAAGTCCGAGGTCTTGAATATGTCAGTAAGCTTATATCAATCGCTGGACTAAGCTGCAAACAATATATATATATAAGGAGATAGGAGAGGGGAGTAAGAATAAAAACCATAGCCTAAACAAATGATGAATAAATCAAACTAAACAAAATAGTTAATGAAAGGCTAAATTTTCCCACCCTCCCCCCCCGTGCCTTCAAGGGCACCTGTCTTTATACCCCATCTACAAAACCGGACACTGAAAAAAAAACCCTAGTAAAGCGTAATAGCTTAAATGAAAAAGGTGCTTTAAAAAGTGCAGTCCAAGTGATTACTGCTGCATATCAGTTTCCTGTCTAACACAGTAGACGGACATCATAACCAAAGCCCCTGACACATGCGTTTCGCCTGACCTGGCTCATCAGAGGGGAACCGGCTGGTACTGAGCAGTAAGTTTAAAAAGGGTAAGGGGTCAGATCTGATTGGTTCCATGTGGAACCATCTAATTGGTCCACAGGGACTCAAGGTATGATGTCATGTTACACCTCCTCCTGGAGGATGTAGAATTTTACCCCTTCAGGAAAGTTATGGGAGATTGCCATTTTCCCAGAGTTTTACTGTGTAAAATGTATTAGATACTGATGCAATGCCTAATCCCAAGTGTATACTGTTGTATTGGGATTATATTTATGAGTCATAGTGAAGTATCTTTTAGAAGGAGTACTTGTATATCTTGTCAGAATGTTCGGAGTATAATGCCCCTGTTAAGACATATTAGTCACTGAAATTATACCTGGTATTAAGTAGATCCTAAAATATTTATTTCAATAACACTAATAGTGTGTAGAAGCTGCATACTGAT